ATTAAGTAACTTAACTATTCTGTAAAAGTTATTAATGAAAACACAGTAATTATTACGTATGTTAATGCCTTCATTCTAAGAGCATATCAAATTGATGAATGTAATTTCCTGGATTTAATCTGTGTAAAATATAGTTAGATTGGGATTCTGAATACTTTGGAAATTCTCAACTTACAATGTATATGACTTTTAGATTTGAATAGCAGCACTAGTTGCAGCCTCCAGAATTGTCTCATTGAACCCATAAGTCTTGATCTATTAAATGATGATGTTTTTCATGCTAATATTCAAAGGCATTTCATAATCATTTTTGATTGATGTTAATAACATTATGCATGCAGGATAGAGACAATTGATTTCAATGAATTCCATATCTTAAAATTTAAGTTTAACTCCAGAATATTCAGGATCGTTTGGTCTGATTGTCATGATATCAAACTAAGTCTCAAATATTTTGCCAAAGTATGTAAACGTAGTGTTGTAAACATAAACTCCACTGATATCAATAGTGGTGATATAGAAAAGTGATGTATAATTAACTCTGCTGTTGGTCATCTCGAAGCCAGATATAGATACCTTTTACATGGTTTGAAAGTTCACAATACCTCTTGAATTATTGTATTCGACATTATTTAAATGTAAGTTTTCTACTAGAATCATTCCTGTTGGGGATTTTGTGACTTATGTGCTCAAGAAAGCACCATCATTTATGAAATAAGCATCATTAAAGATTACATTTTTTAGGAAGATTTTACTGTTCCATTCTGATTGAGTTATCAGAGTAATATCTTATAATTCAAAGAGAGCTTGGCTTTCGACAGAGAAATCTTAGAATCTTACATTCTCCATTTTTATGGCAAAGTAAGCCAATTAAACATCCTCACTGTATGTGAGACCAAAAGGCTTAGCTTAGAAAGCTACTTCACTTCCTAGGAGATAATTTTGCGAAGTTATCAACACATTACTTAATTGGATATCATAGGTATTAAGAAGGACAGTGTAAAAAGGTTTATATTTTTTAAGGCTTTGGGACACATCACTATAAGGAGTGGTGTACAATAATGATTGATAATGATCTTATGCTTGTCCATTGCCAATTTTGACATTCTCCAAGATCAACCTAGAGCCATCATTTTTGGTCAATTCAAACCCAAATGGTTTTTCAAATTTCTATACATTGGAGTACATATTAATAGGCTCTAAATCAGTGGCAGGTAAAATCTCAATCTAACTCAATTTGACTGTTGTAAAATACTCAAAATAAATTGTGTTCTGCACATACCATTACATTTTCTCAGCTTCTGTAGCACCTTCAACTGATATTTCAAGTTCAACTTCTGATAAAGAGAATACATTTCTTCTAAAATTGGTTGTGAAATATGTGTTTTTTTAGAAATAACATTTATTATTTTTGGAATCAGTATCATAATGAAATTTTAATCTAATGGTTAATTTGCTGACAACTTTTTCATTGTAGTCCTTATATAATTGATTTCTTAGGGCAATGTCCAGTTTATCTTCCAGATTGATAATCGTAGTTTTCTTTGTGATATCTCCAAATTAAGAATTGATCTTCCATTTATTATTAATATCATCTTCATAATGAGTACAATCAGCATCTAATTCAATTATGTCAGAACGCACACATTCCTATAAACCACCTTTTTTTTCAACGCATCTACCCAAATGAGTATCCAAGTAATATGAGGAACTAGAATCGCAAATAAACGACAATCGTGAATATTCTAAATACTACTAGTTTGTGGGATCAAAGAACTTATTAACCAAATCAATTTCTTCAGCTGTTCTGATTCTGCATCCGATAGTAAATTATGGACATTCGATACAATCAGAATCATCAAGCGAAGCTGATCTTGTTATTGAACTCGTTAACTTAGTATAGTCACATTTATCGCAATAGCCTTGACTTCCTTAAGCAGAAAAACTAAAGCAAGCCTCTCCTCCTTTCTCACAATATCTGAGATCCTCATTCAAAAAGGGCCCTTTTTCGCTGTCCCCTGCAGTACAAGTGTAACAATAAGGACCGTATACGTTCCTGTCCCCATCATCAGTGTATAAATAGTATTCAGTTCTATGAATACTCAGAAGTGAGTATCTGTAACATTCTTTACCGTACCCGTTGGCCGAACAAGGAAGACATTTACCACTTACATTATCGACATAGAAGCCATCTAAACAATATAGACATCTGTATTTGTCATTAATATACAAACAAGACTAACAGAGGTAATCTTACAAATTTTGTTAGCATGTTCTCTCACATTCCCATACTCCTGTAACTTCTGAAAGGAATAGAGTATATGTAACATCACATTTTCTACATTAGTTTTTACTGTTCGAGTCCACTTGATATGTCAAGCATCCAGTAGGAAAAGGAGTTGGTGGATCAGGTTCAGCGCAAGATTTGCCATCGGCTTAGAGGATAAAGTTGTCTTAACATAATAAACATAACTAAATTGCAAATTCTTCCTTTTCTAACGGTACAAAGTCTGGATTCAAAGTAGAAAATGATTTGTCTGCTCCAGCATCAGGATTGCCAGCCATATGACAAAGTTTACAATTTGAAATTGTACAAGCAGCACATCCAGTACCTGTTGCTTAAAATGTATAAAGGTAATTATCACATTCTCTACATCTCAATACGTACTGAGTTAATATTGTGTCTGTAATAGTAATCACTGTATTCTTATTTCTCGTTGGACTATTATGTAATTAAATTAAACTTACTAATTATTTGTTGTTAAGGTATACGAAACATATTCACAATTCTTACAAGAAGTTCCACATCTAACACATGTTAATTTATCCAACGAAGGTATATAAGTGTTTTGTGATGTGCTTACACATTCAGAACATCTTGAATATATCCCAAGAGAAAATAATTTGTCATACGCCTAGCTAGTTGGTTGAGTGTTAGCTGGCAATATTAATTCCTCATAGTTGTTGTAAGGATCCCATGGTTCAGTGTTTAAATTCACTTCATCATTACCAAAGAAGCATTCACTGCATCCAGTTTAGCATGGGATACATTGACTATAAGTTTAAGCACCATTAAGACTTAGTCTTGTCGTCATCAAACTAAATCCTTTATTGCAAATTAAACAATCTTTTTTTGTATTTACTGTGACTTTTCCATCGCTATCTGTCGTTCTTATGTTATTGATTTCGCAGGACTGGCAGTTTTCAGGACAAGAATCACATCCGCTGGTAACTTCATTGTAGGCGAACCCTTAATTTTAATTTTTGAAATACCCTCTGCACATGCAATAAAAAGATTGTTTACGTCATACGAATATTATAAAGAAACTGGGAAACATGATGAGCTCTTGGAGGTACAAAAGTTTGCACAACCCTCGCACATCGTAGTCGTGAACTTCATATGAAATTAATCAATACTTCTTTAGTACCAGATTCAATTACATAAAACAACTGTTTTGCACTTCTATCCACCTTGTGAAATACAGAAGTGTCCAACATTGTTCGTGCCTTATAATCGTAAGTGCACAATCGAGACTAATCCCAAGTCTAACTATTGTCTAAACAATCTCCACAATACAAATTGCTTTTATCATGGAACCCATTGTATGGACTATTTGTTACATCAAAACTGCAATTACCATTATACGCATATTTTTGTGCCCTTCTTCAAGCCCATTTCCAAATTATCTTGTGGTAATTTGAACAAAAATGTTTGGGTCTCACATAATTTGCAATTTCCGTTTTCATATTAAAGACACTTCTCAAAAATGTCATTTTTTTCTAAGGGAGTCTCTTCTATTGCTTATTTTGTTAACTAAGTTAAGTAGCTAAGAATAACAAAGTTTAAATAAATCATTTTTAGAGTATTGTATTAAAATTACTGATTAATAAATATTGGGATCTGAATTTAAAATCCTTACAATGTTGTAAGACATTATTTAAAATATGTATTTTGTTATCAAGCCTTTTTTCAAATTAAACTCCAAATTAATACGAAGTTCAAAAATAAACCAAAACAAAAATCATAATATTATAATAATATTTTTAAATAATCATTATAATATCACTACACACTTTCAAGAAATAAAACTCTTACAAACCCTATCTTCCAGATAAGTAAGTCATAAGTGCTTAGAATTCTCCTTCCTCCTAAGAACATCATTAATTTTATGAGTTTTTAAATTTTACACTTCATTTAAATTCTATATATTATAAATGTTGACCTCAAAATCATGAAATTTACATGAAAAATAACAGTAATAATAAATTCATCACTATCATGCTAATAAATTTATTCGTGTATCCATCAAGAATGAGTAAATCAAAATCTTAACTAAACTGTGATTAAATTTCAATTCATTAATAAAGAATGAATTCTAAAATGATAAAATTATTGAATTACGGGCAGTACTAAGTTGAATTTTCTTGAGTTTCAAATTTTTTGTTGGCTGTTATTTCCATTACAATTTAGTAGAATTAAGTGAATTTCTACGAAAATGGCACATTTTATGAATTTTATTGCTACCTTTTCTTACTTTTTAAATTGAACTCAAATTTCTTTTTTCTCATTTGTTAGGCTATTATTATTATGATTTTAACTCTTAATACTTTAATATTCACAATTACTATCTTAGATGTTTTTAAAAAAATATTGAGATTGAATTCTAGGATTAAGGATAAGTAAATATAATTAAGTTTAAAATAATTAACATAGATTACAGATACAATTTTTGTCAATTAATAATGAAGTGAACTTAAGATATATATTTTGAATGAGTATTTGTTTATACTGATTCATATCAAGATGGAATATGAAATCTCAGATCTACAATTTAGGCTGAGAATTAAATTATTTAGGAAGATGTTTATAAAAATAAAACTATATATATATTAATTTTATTAATAAAAGCATCATACTTAGTTATTTCAATAAGATTGAGTTGGATAAGTTTGATTAAATCAAAATTAATTTGCAAGAAATAATTTATTAAATTTGACGTATGAAGAATCGGAAGACTAAAAAACATTAAACCCACTTATAAACAAATAGCCACGCTCTTCTTCATTCAGGAACTATAATAGCTGATAAGTTTATATTGTTGGAGAAAGTTGGATAGGGTAGCTTTGGATATATTTTTAAAACAGAGAATATCGAAACAAATGAGATAGTAGCTACAAAATTTGAGAAGAGAGAGAATAAAAGTACTAGTAAGGGAAGTTTGCTGGTTAGAGAAATCAAAGTGTTGTTAGAACTAAGCGGAGTGGAAGGTATTATAAATACTATAAGTATAAAGGTTTCCCATAAATTCAATATTATGGAAGAGACGAAAATTATAATTATTGTATGATCACATATTTGGGCCATAATTTGGAATACCTGCTTAGAAAAAGCAAAGGGTTTTCTCAACTGTCTTGTCTTAAATTATCTCTTCAATTAATTGAGAGATTGGAATCTCTACATAGCAAAAATATTATTCATCGAGATTTAAAACCTGAAAATTTAGTGACTGGATATATCGACACCCACAATGTCTATCTGATTGATTTTGGATTAGCTAAATATTTCAAGGATAGCAATGGATAACATATACCCTTATCAGATAAGAAGGGAATCATCGGAACTGCTCGATACGCTAGTATAGCAGCTCATTAAGGATTGGAATAATCTCGAAAAGATGATCTAGAGAGCTTAGGTTATGTTTTAATTTATTTGAACTTGGGAAAGCTTCCGTGGATGAATCTCTAAATTGCTGACAAACATGAAAAGTATAAAACTATATATGAATTGAAGAAAAATATAAAATTAGAGTTACTAACTGAAGGACTTTCTAAGGTAATCTGAAACATTATTTAGTGCTATTTACTCTTACTGTAACATGCGAAATCAAGAGAATTTTAAGAATCACCTAACTATGCATTTCTTAAAGATTAATTTAAAAAAGCTATCTCTGAAAAAGAATGTGAGGAATCATTTTACATGTTCGATTGGGAAAAACTTGCAGAAGTGAAAAACAAAAAACTCATACATTAAAACAAAATTGATAATCCTCCTGTAATAAGAAGTACAATCAAAAGATCGTCGGCTGCTATCGTAGATCAACCTAAAAAATAACTATCTACTCATTTAGTGCTTCCTGAACCAGAAAATATAGAAAATAGGAGTCGTAATGTAAATTATCAAATAATTAAATTAGGGAGTTAGTATGCATACATTAGGAACCTCTAAAATGATAAATTATCAAGCAAGCCAAATAAATATTGTTGAAGTTGATAAATATAGAAGAGTTATGGAATAATAATTACCAAGAGCCCAAAGGAAAAGTCAAACAGTAGTATAACAATAGTAATAAGCTTTCTGCAAGGAAACTAGTAAACATTTTCAGGAAAGAGTGAAAAGTATCGAGTAAGTAGAATAAGAGTTTGAATAATTCAATGATTTAGATTTATTAGCTAAGGATGATGCAAATTTACATTTCAATAACATAAAAGCTTTCTATTTCAAAAATTAGTTGTATCATTGATTTACTTAATTGTTTTAAACATTTTCCTAGTTATTTTATATATGTATTTATTTATCTATCAGAACCATTATTCTATCGAACTTAATTAAACATGAAAATTCAATCATTATTATTTATTTTAATTCATACTATTCTTCATTTCTCGTAGTAGTTCTTTGTTCCAATCCAGAGAATATGATTTGAACGAGAACTTCAAAAACTTTTCTAATTTCTCATTCAATTTAAAATACTTCAACATTCTTAAAAAATAAAATTTCATCTTCTTTTCATTATGTTCTAATCGAAAACGAAACTAAACATTTTTAATATTGTATTATTACCTTAAACATGTCAAAATCGTCAACCAAAAACTTATTCAATTTATTAATTTCCTCTTCACAACCTTCATAATAATGATATCTTAAAAAATATTAGCAAAATATTTATTAAGACAGTGAATGTTGATGAAGAGTCTTTAAATTTATAATTGAATTATTTTTAAGCATTCTCCTCCATTTCTAATAGTCTATGAATTCTTAATTTTTAAACAAAATTGAATCAAGTGTATCCTCTCCAACCAGCTAGTTGATAATTGATGAAGATTTAGTCAATTCTTCAATTTGTTTTTAATCAATTAATTCAAATATATTTAAGGCTTATAGTACTTGTTTATAAAATACTCTCAATATTTGAAAATAAATACCTTTATGGAACAAAATAGCTTAATAAGCTTATGTGAATGTTATATGTGTGATTCGGAATTGCAAGATATTTGAAAATTTATTCTAAACCATTCCTTTTTGAATACATCGTCTTGGATCTATACACAGCTTAATCAGAATATGCAGACATAATCAAAATTAGATTGCAATCATATAATTCTTGTTTTTTGTAATCGCTGCATAAATATTTCGGTTTGATGCAATTTGATGATATTCCATTCGCCACTGATAATCCGAAAAGAGGCATCAACATAAATTTGTCGAATATTAAATCAGTTTCATTTTACAGTTAATAATGAGTAGTCATAAACAACTTATTCATTCTTTGTGGATTATAAACCTTTTGTAAAATATGAACACTTTCAGATATTTATTTCATTATATTTAAATTATTTATTAATATTGTAGTTTTGCATTTTACAAGTTAACAAAACATTCTATACTCTACTAATGAGAATAAGTTACTTAGTAAATGCAAATGCTTTTAGTTATATCTCTAATGATTTATAGAAAAAAAAATAAATGATAAATTATGAATCCACATTTCCTTGTTATTTATATATAGGAAAGATTATTGTATTTAAACAAACTATTGAATTAGTGTAAGTTTCATAGTTCATTTAATAATAATTTTAAAAAAATTGAAAATGATGAATACAAGAAATTATAAAAAAGATGTATCAGATTAAGGCTCTATCAAAGGATAAACAAACTAAAACTTTGGATATTCATAACCTCAATAATTTTAAGATGGAATTTCGAGAATTCAAGAAGAGATGATGGATCCTCGAAACATTTAGCCTGATTCTATGTTTGTGAATTTTAGCGGAGTTCTAGAATGTGGTGAAGTAAAAGAGCTATTTAATAAATTAGTGTGAAGATGAAGAATCGTTAAGAATAGAATATGCAGTAAAATACGGAGGAGATGATTGGACATATTTGAAAACTAGCGTATGATTTCAAATAAAATTAGAATAATGCTGATGATGCAGAACCAAGCGGAATATCTTAATTGAGCACTTCACGAAATTTACACTCTAGAAATATTGTTTGGAATTTCCCTTTTGAATGCAACTTTCAAACTAAAAACATATTCGGATGGCCCCAGGTTGTAGTTAGACTTTCAGGTCCAGATTTCATGGGAAGAAGTGTGGCCAAAGGCTATGGATCCGTTCATGTTCCAACTTAACCAGGATAGTATGAATTCTGAATAGTCTTCTAGTCATGAAAGAGTAATTAGAATATTCAAACCTCTACCAATTTCTGGTTTCACAGGATTTTTGGGTTATTTGTTGGGAAACACTGCTGAACTCAAAAACTTCGATAAAGTTATTTCCTCAGGTGAAGGAAGAGAAGTTACAAGAGTTAAATCGGTGGGATATGTAAAAGTTAAGTTTCACGTAACATTAGTAAATTTTGATAAATTTGGTTATTTATGAAATTGCATAAATAAATTAATTAATTTTATTTTTATTGGTCTTAATCTCTAATATAATAGATACTCGCTAATTTAGATACATATCTTAAAGAGATAATTTTTTCTTGTTTTTTTTATATTAAAGACGATACAACAACGAAAACATACTGAAATTGAAGTTTTTATTGAAATAAAGTAACATTCCTTTTGTGCTTTTCAAAGAGTAGCAATAATATTTTAATCATGTCATTCAATTTTAAAAGAACATTATTACAATTGAATGTTAAATTTAAAAAAAATGACCAATTAAGCCTTATTCTTTTGAAATCTTTCCATCTGTCAAATAAAGTATGAGTTTTGATATAAAATGAAATCTATAATTATTATTAAAATATGAACTCATAAAACGACCAAGAAAAGTAGGGCTCAGATGAACAAGGATTGGGAGAAGTGTTTGTGCCAGCATAGGTTGTGAATAACTTTAATCAAATGGTTGCTGATCCTCAACCTGTATTTACTCTATTGATAATAGTTATAGTTTCCATCTGATAGGTCAGCTAAGCCTACTTTAGAGAATAATCTTCAGAATTAAGCTCCACTGGTAAATAGATGGATATATATAGTTAACTGATAAATAGCAAGCGTAACCATTAATTAAAAAGGTTGATCCTGGTTCTGAAGAAATAAAAAAGATTCCAAAAGCAAGAAAGGAATCTGCTAATCATAGTTAAGATGATGTCTCAGTTAAAAGTTCAGGAGGAGCCAAATCTCCTCATTAATGTACCATTTTGCTATAATTAATCAGAAGCCCAATAGAAACGCATTAAAAGGATGAACAGCAGAGTCAAGAGTCGACATTCTCAATAAAAACAACAATCGGATTTCTCAAAAAGTATAATGAAAATCACAGAAAACACAATCTTCTCAATAATCATGGCAATCGTCACTATTTATGCTTTATTTGGAGATGATATTCGAATTTTATCAGTAGATAAGTAGGGAGATGATGTATTCTTTGTTCTAACCGTGATATGCATGGTTGCATTTATTGTCGAAATTACACTTACAAGTATCGCTAAACCAGACTACATTCTGAATGTAAATATAAAACAAATTTTAGTTTTATTTTATTTTAGATGTTATATCAACCTTAACGATGATATTAGATTTAGGTTGGATAACAGATACTTGGTATTCTGGAGATTTAACAAGTGCATCTCAAATTAAATCTATTGGAACTGCTTCCAGAGCAGCAAGAAAAGCAGCAAGAGTTATTAGAGTTATAAGACTTGTGAGATTGGTTAAACTATATAAACATGCTCGCTAATAAATGGAAAGAGAATAGTAAAGAAAATTACTTTAAGATTTATTAAGATAAGCATAATAAAGTAAGAGTTCAGATTAACACCAATAATAATAGTAATAATAATAATAATAATAATAATAATAATAGTAGTAAAATTTATCAATCTAATAAATTATACCTTAAAATGATGAATCCAGAAATAATTCACAAAATGAAATTGAAGTTGCCAAGACACCAGATAGAAACTCTACTTCTTAAGTAAGAACCTCTTAAACTTCATCGTAAGCAGAAAACCAAATAAAGGAATCTATCGTAGGAGCTTAATTATCAGATCTTGTTATGAGAAGAGTGATTACTATTATTTTAGCCATTCTAATAAGTATTCCTGTTCTCTCCTTAGATACTTATTAAGAAACGATCAGCAGTTATGATTCTGGAATTTACAGAATCTATTAATTTAAAGATAATCAAGAAATAATGAAATCTCTTTTGTATTAATATGCTCAATTCCATGTAGGAGAAATTTACCCGATATATAGTGTTGATGTTAACTTAAAAGGAAATGGCAATACAAATCTTGATGAATGGAATTACAATACTAATCCAGAAATTTTCGAAGTTCCTGCTTATGAAACAAAAGACTAATATAGATTTTCTGATTTACAATATTATGTCAAATCTGATGGATCAGATCTACAGACATATGCTGCGGCTGATTTGGTAGCCTATAATCAAACTAATGCTATTTTGTCAATATTTTAAACCGTCTTTGTATGCATAGTCTTAGCAGTCTCAGCTTTAATGTTCAATAAAGATGTGTCTGATTTAGTGATAGATCCTATAGAAGCAATGATGTAGAAAATAGAAATGATAGCAGCAAATCCACTTGAAGCAGTTAATATAGAAGAATAAGAAGATTTAATAATGGAGGAATTGGAGAAATCTTAGGACGTGGAGAAACTGAAATAGAAAGAAATAGAGAAACATATGGAAACTTATGTTCTCCAAAGATTAATAATGAAAGTAGGTGCTTTGCTAGCTGTTGGTTTTGGTGAAGCAGGTTCTGAGATTATAGCTGAAAACATTAAAAAGGGTGGCAGTGTAGATCCCATGATTCCAGGTAAGAAGATATTGGCAATCTTTGGATTTTGTGATATTAGAAATTTCACTGATGTAATATAAAATAGTTAACAATATAGGCCACTGAAGTATTATAATAAGGAGTAATGGTTTTCGTGAATGAAATTGCCGAGATCGTTCATTCAACAGTTGATTCCATGAGTGGATCTGCTAATAAAAATATTGGTGATGCTTTCTTGCTCGTTTGGAAGTATTCACCCAATGATTATCATCCTGATCCTGACAATCCTAGAAACCTGAAATTAAAAACAGAAAAATACATTAAGTAAAAGGGAGATATGGCTGTGATGGCATTTCTCAAGATTATAACAGCAATCTCTATCTCCAAAAAATTGGAGAAGTATAAGAAACATGAGGGACTTAATGCTAGAATGAAAGACTATTCTGTGAAAATGGGTTTTGGATTACACATGGGTTGGGGAATCGAAGGAGCAATTGGATCTGGATTTAAAATTGATGCTTCATATCTTAGTCCAAATGTTAATATGGCATCAAGATTGGAGGCAGCAACAAAGCAATTCGGAGCCCTTATTCTCGTTAGTGGTATTCTAAAGTAATATTTGACTGATGAATGTTAAAAGCAGATGAGAATGATTGATATTGTTACTGTGAAAGGAAGTATTGTTCCTTTAGGTATGATATCATATTATTTTAAGAACTGCATACAGTGGATATGTCTATTAAAAATTTGTAAGCCAAAATCAAGTCTCTAAGAGATAAATTTGATGTTTCTTAGATGACTTAAAAAGAATCAAAGAAATTTAGAGTTGTGAATAGATTCAAGAGAGATTAACAGATGAAACAAGTGATGAACAATTAAATTAATATTACTGATCTCTTTGAAAAGGATGACGAATTGTCAGCTGCTAGAGAACCATACACTTAAGTACAAATATTCTTTGTGATTTTATTATAGTAATTCTATGAGACTTGGAAGTAGGGATTTGATTAATACATTAAAGGAAATTGGGCAGAAGCATAATCCATATTCTAAAAAACCTTGGTAATTCAAAAAATTTATAGTTTAGACTATGATACCTGAACATAAGGATGGGCCGTCAAATACTCTTTTAGAGGTTATTCATTCGTGTGGTGGAAAAGCTCCCAAAGATTGGAAAGGTTTTAGAGAGCTTACAGAAAAATGATCAACAAATCTTTATTTGTCTTCAAAATATATTAATTTTATTAATTAAAAATTATATAAAAAAGCAGACCGAAAGGAGTCGAACCTTCACTACCAAATGAGGAGATTGGGGTATTACCATCAATACTGCAGTCTGATCTTTCAAAATATAAAGCAGAGATAATTGTATACTAAATGATGATGCAAAATTAAATATCAATTTATGTGATAAAAGGACATTTGATATATTTCAACTTCATCATCAGATCCAATTAATATGAATTGTTTGAATGAAAGTTGCATGTTAGACATAAAAAATCTGGAGCCATTCAATTGTTTTGATATTTCTATATAAATACTGTTATCAGCATAATCATAAAAACTAAGGGTTCCATCAAAATGCATCATGCAAATCTCAAATTCTTCGCTTTAATTCTATGATATATCACATTTTTTTGGTTCTATATCAAAAGCTGTAATCATAGATTTGTTATTGTTTTGATACTTAATTACATTCCATTTCTTTAATCCATTATCCTCTATTTCACAATACTATAACATTTCTCCATTCTATATTGGAACCATTAAGTTGGCCTTATTATGTTAAAAATATAATTTAGGAGGTGAAGTTATTCTATTAATGTTATGAACATGATGCTGAATATTAAAAAAGAGATCAATAGATATGATTGAAATAATTCCATTGTAAGATGTCAAAGCTATGTAATATTTTTAATTCTGAGTTGAAATGTCATTAAATATAATAAGTTGCTCAAAAATGAATTCTTGCAATGACCTAATTAATTTATTTTTGATATCAATCTCAAAAAGACCAACACTTAAATCATTGAATCCTACTATAAGGATTATGACCTCCTATAAGTATCTTGAATTCATCCAGATTATTCTTTTGGTGATTTATATATTGATATTTATCTCTTTCGATTGATCGTCAAACAATTTGATCTGTTACCCGTTCTTTCCACTACTAACCACTAAAATTCCAGTGCTCAAAGGTAATATTCTTTAAGTATTTTAGAACTCATTTGGTAAAGGAAATGCAGTCAAACATTCTAATGGACATTAATATTTTGTCAAATCAATGCATAATTATTGATGCACAAAATCTGGCTGCTTAAGTTCGATAGTAAATATTTATTAGCCTCCAATATATACAAAACACTCGCCTTCAATAAATTAATCTTCATCAATTGAATCTTTGTGTTGAGATACAGTCTCCTCTTAAACTAAACCACTCGCATATTGTGGGTAAACAATTCTCTATATAGAATATCGATTAGTGCCATTATGAGTATAATGCTAGAATTGAGTTAAGTTTCTACTTTCCATGGATAATAAATAACAAATTTTAAAAATTTTATTATGAAATCACTAGATAGAAGAAGGAATATCTAAATGCATTTATCAATCAACTAATGAATACGCAATTACCCAATAAAGATTAAGCCAAAAATATTAATCAAATAACTAATTCCTCAAATATATAGAAAAAAAATTAGACTATAAATGGAATTGCACAATTTGAAATTAATTTGTAAAATAAAAATTCTCACTTTATGATCAAGAATTTCACAGTAAAATTTATAGCTGCAATTTAATACTCTTTTCAATTTTCATTTAATGATTATTACTTTAATTCATAATTAATTTATTCAAATATATTTATAAAATGCCAACTTCGGTTAATGCAATTGAAAAGGCTAATGTATTGAGAAAGGAGTTTTTGGAAATAGAAATAAATCATGACGAATTGCTATCTATTGAATAATTTTATAGATGCTTAGATAAGAAAGTATAATCTGCTACAAAATTTAGTTGAGAAGACAATTTGATAGAGAATTAGGAGATCAATTATATTAAAGAATGAACAAAAGTTTTAACAATAAAGTCACAGTGGATGAATTTATTAAAGTGTTTCTCCAAGCAGAGGAAATCTTAAAGAATAAAATAGAAGGCTGTAAAAAGCAGATTTTAGATTATAATAAATAAAGAAAATATGTATCAAACTAATTTGATGTATTTATTATCAATAAAGAATTAAGTCAATAAAAGATAGTGAAAGAGTTAACTAATACGGAATAAAAGAGGACAGTTATTTGACAGTTGAATTGTTAGATGGAATCAATTTCCCAGCATAAAATGTATCAGTAATTGTAAAATTGGAAAATTAAAAACAAGAAATTCATCAGCAAAATGGGCCATCTCCATAATGGAATAAAACGCTTAATTTGTATCTTTTTTCATTATGTTAGTAAAATTTCAACTGGCCTTGAAGAATTATAATTATTCTTTTACACCATAAACCATCCAAACATACCGCAATTATTAGGAACTGTGACTTTGTCATTATCACATTTGACTAATCAAACAAAAATTGAAGATTGCTGCCAGTTATTTGATAAAAATGGATAGCAAACTTAGACCAAAATTAAGTTGAGATCTCAATGGATATTTAATGAATCTAAATCGTTAAGCCAATAAATTGAAGTTTGCAATGACTAAATAAAGACTGCCTAAGATGACTTAATTGATTTTGAAAAAGATCTTGCAACTCTGTATGAACCTTTTCCAAATTATGTTTAATTAATTCGAAGTATTGAGAAGGAAGATCTAGCCATTAACCACTAACCTCCAAATACTTTTGTGATGACCCCAATTAATAATGTTAGCTCTTAATATGATTACAAATTATACACTCGATTAAGTATATTAATTGTAATGGGACTTAGTGTATTCATTTGCTTTGGCAAATCTTAGTTTCTGGATGTAAATATTAATACCTAACCTCTATATAGTTGGTTATATGCTTTTTCTTCATCATTGAATTTGAATTCAATAGACTTTACAGATAGCGTTTGATATACTATTCGATAGCTGTGGGGATTTCATTGCTATGTGATTTGGTGTGGGCAATCAAGTATTCCAGAGGATTTTGGGGGAGTGAAGACTCTGAAACCGATAAATACTATGCCATAGAGAAGGGTCCCAATAGATTAGCCTTAATTTTAATCTTTGTGTCTTTCATATTTAAAGTAAATTCTAGGGTAATATCATAGCTAATTTTATGTGCTCTTTTAGGAGCATTAAGCCAGGATATGCCTGAAAAATTAGAGGAACAATTACCCAATAAAAACAAATAAATGAAATAATAATCGTTCTATTAAAAAAATAAGACTGCTTAATTTGGTGAGGATAATAGTACATTTTACAATTATTGATTTGATTTCTTTATTATTAAAAATTAATTTAATTACGAAATACCTAAAGAAAGAGAATTTTCAAATAAAGCAATGTGATCACTATCAGACAATTAGAGATATATTAATTGTCGAATAAATAAATAATGTCTATTTTATGTTATTGAATATTTGGAAAACTAAAAAATTAACTTTAGAATATATCACTCACATAGTAATTAAGATTTTATAATGAAGTAATGAAACTCAAATTAATTATTTATATATTTGTGATATATTAAGAGAACAATTATTTTTGTTTAATTAAATTTAATGTTCATACCATACAAAAAGAATAAAGGTTATAAAATCCCTGTCATTTTTGAATTCGGACAATAGAATACAAGAGTTGGATATGCGGGAACTGATGGACCTGAAGTGGTTTTGCCCTCAGATTTATTAATGGATAGCGAGGGAAATATGAAATTTATTGAATAAAATAGTACATACCAACCAATTGGATTTGATGTTAAGAATATCCTGTAAGGAGGGTAGATAGTTGATTTTGATATTTGGAAAGAATATGTAGAACACATACTAAATAATGTTTTATTTTAAGAAAGACATTTCCCCTTTTTCTTTGTTGAAAATGGAAACGTAAAAAAAGAAACCAGAAATAAAATCATCGAAATGCTCTTTGAAGAAATCGATGTTTCTTCTGTGTTTTTCCACAGAAACACAATGTTAGCATAATATATAGTTGGAAAAGACAATGTATTAGTAGTTGATTGTGGAGCATCTCACACTACAATTACACCTATATTGGATGGAAATGTCATAGAAAAGGGTAATCTTAATTGAATATATTTAAGGCATTTTTAGGGGAGATATAGGAGGTGAGTATATAACAAATAAATTATATGAAATTTGGAAATAGTAAGGATTGCCATTTTCTAGATTTAAAAATTATAGTCAACTCTCGCCTTCTCTTTAAATGTATGGAGATTTGGAAGTAGTTAGAGAAATTAAGCATCAGTGTGCTAAACTGTATGATTAGCCCATAGAGAATTTGTAATTATTTGTACTGACTAATTTATAGAAAATTTAATCCAACTGTTGATAATTACGCTTATGAATTGCCAGATCAAACTAAATTGTTAATATCTGAAGAAATGTACAAGTATCCAGAATTTCTATATGAACCAACTGAATTTTTTGAAGGTTTGGATAAAGCATTGGAAACAAGTTTAGAGAAAATTGACTCCGATTATAGAAAGGAACTAGTATAGAATGTTATTTTGATTGGAGGAGCTAGTTGTACAGTGAACATGGTAGAAAGGTTTTAAAGAACTATCAATAACCTAAAAATTTTTGGATTATCATCAAGAAGCAAAGTGCAAACTCTCCCTAAATTTTTTGATCGTTAACATGCTTCTTGGTTAGGAGCTTCAATCGTTGCAAGTTCTTAAATATATGATCAATGGACTTTAAATAAATCAGACTATGATGAGCACGGATCCTCTCTAATAGAAAAAAAGATGTTTTATTGATAATAAATTGTCATTATTTATTGATATAATTTTAAGCTTAATTTAAATTCATTACATCAATATTAAGATATCGAATCAATTCAAATTTATGATAGAATGTAATGAATTACATTTATTTATTAATTAAAATATATTTGAAGAGTTTAATTTATAATTTTCACTTAATTAATAAATTCATTTTTTCTTTAATGTTGAGGAACTGTTTGTTGCAGTCTATTTGGATGGTTATTTAGTTTATGGCTGTTTAACTTAAACTGCTTGTTTTTTTACAGATTGTGTCTATGCTTATGTAATTGAAGGATTATCAAAAGTTACCTTAATAACTTTCCCTTCATTCTGTTCATCATCTTTATCGAATTATAGATCATCTTAATAAATTTAGAGTATTACCTTGTTATACTAGTTTCGATATTGACATATTTATACTCTAATTTTCAGGAATTTCTGATAATTATTTAATTCCAATAATTGGGGCATCTTTCCATCGATGATCATTTGTTTCTAACCTATTTTATTAATGATAAATTATATTTTTAGGAGGTGAATGCTGTTTCTACCAATGATCTTTGCTTTCATTTAAATTCAATGTATCATTTAATTAATTAAATTATTATGGTTAATGAAGAGTTGATTATTATTACTATGTAGTAGATTATTAATAGGGATTCATTAATAAATTAGTGGCTAAGGAATCTAATTCCATTTATTGAGATGATCCATTTAAAACATTCATGGCTTCGAAATTGAGAGCGCAGACTCCTCTCATAAAAGCTCTCTTTAAGTTTTCTTACATAGATAATTTAATTTTATTAGCTTCATCTAATTAAGATGTAGCTTCCAATAATTTCTATTCCAATAGTTGCTATTCTTTTAAAAATTTAGCCATTAATAAATCAACATCACTTTAATGAGATAATTTTAATTTTTCAGATTAATTAATTCTAATTTGAATATTGAACTACTTTTTCCATAGATTAAATATCCATCTTTACAAATATAATTTGTAATGCTTTGTTCCTTTTTTTTAATTCTATTATAGCTATATATTTCTTACATGTTTCTTCTTTATTGACTATTTTGTATGTTGCTTTAAACTATTAAAGACATTTGATAAAACAGTCAATCTTCTTTTTGTATTCTTCATTTTACCACAATATTATGCTATTTTTTCTGATCTTTCAGTAATCTAATTGCAAATTCTCATTTATTCTGCCAATTATTCTTTTGTTTGCGATAATTCATTATTTTTTAATTCATACATCTACAAATACTTTTCAGTGTCTAATTTAATTGTTTACTTTTAATCCTCTAACATAGATCTCTTCATAGACATAAATTCGCTTGTGGCCTCTGTTTTAAAAACATTTAAAATATGCTCTAATCTAATTTTAAATTATTCAGTGTCCTCATCAATAATTTGAGGAGCATGATTTCTAGATTTACTAACATTCTTTTTTGCTTCTTCATTATTAGGCACAAAATTTTCTATTATAGTTTAGGAATCTAACCTTTGTTCCAAGGATTTGTCACACATTTACTAGAAGTAATTTCAGACTCAGTCTTTGAAGGACTTGGAGAAGGTTATCGTACTTATTCATTTTTAGTTTGTTTCCACTTTTGACTCAATTTACTAAAATCACACAGATCATCTAAATCGTTTACAAAACTCATTCAAATTTGAATTATTAACTATTAAAATTATAATAAACAAATAGTTAATATTCATATTCTATCCTGTGGCTTACTTACTAAATCCCAATTATTCTAACATTACTTTATCTTATTATGTGTTATTAGTTGATTTTGATAATAATTGAATAATTCTACTTCTACCTAAATTAGAAATTTGTAAAAAGAAAAAATCTTGAAGGTTAACATAATCCACCAATATAATGATAATCTGCATTAAAATATATTTGATACTTTTCATTTTAAAATAATAATTAAAATATGAATTAATATGAATGATTCATCAATTAAATAAAAAGTTGACTTCATAATTTGGCTTATCAAATCCAACAACCCCAAGATATGAATTACTAGTTAATGATCTTTATATCATAATTAATTCTAACTCCTAGCTCTAGTTCCCACTCTTTTTCAAAACATGGCTATACTTTTATAATTATTCAATTGTTAATTCAGCTTGTTTATTAAGTATCAACTACGTGAATTCTTGCATTATTTATTGATTCTAAATGTGATATTGATGTAATAAGGCATTTAATTCGTCATAATCGGATTCGTATTCAATTAATTTTACTTACACCATTCTAACCAACTCTTAGTATGCTTCTTCCTTGTACCCAACTTTAAAGTAATCAATAAATCCCAATAATTTTAGTGCTTCCTGAATCTTAAACTAATTTCTTTATATTTTTCTATCTAATTTTTTTCCTGCCTCCTATCTAATATTCTCTAATTTAGTATTAATCAAAACATCTTAGAGTCCATCTGAATTCTCAATAAATTTCTAAAACAAAGAACTTACTATAAATAAATCATAATATGTTTGAAAACTGTTTTTTAATTCATAATTTGGATTGCTCAGTATTTCATAAATCTTATTACATAATATTATTAATGCTTTTTAGATGGCAATATCAACTTTTTCATCCAAACGTTCTAATTTATTGTAAAATATTGAATTGTATAAAATAACTTTAGTCACTTCAAACAATTTATCTTATTTGTAACTATTTAAATATTTAAATTAAAAGTTATTTTTTTCGTAATTGCATAAATCCTGGAATAAATCAAAATTGAAATGACCTTTAATACTGAAATTGTACAGAATCTAAAATTTAATTGTAAATGATTCTTCGATTGTTATGTTTTTGATTGTCTTATAGATAGTTGTTAGATCCTATGGTGATAAAGGATTAATTTTTAACAAAGATTAGAATACAAGGGTTATCTCTCCTAAATAAAAGTGAGTGTCAACCAATTATATGACTTATAAGAATTCAGAAGTTATTCTGTTCCACAATTCATCTAATCTAATCTCCATAATTGCAAGGCTTTTAGCTAATTAAGCTAATTGCTAAATTGTGAAAGTGAATGAATTAATGTTATTGATAAATTATATAACCACTTCACTTCTCTTCTTGTACTTTATGAGAGCCAAATGCTCAATAATCATTAAATAATTTTCGAGAGTTAAGACATTATAATTTTCACCAAAAAATTCTTCTATATCTAAGATCGAATCCAATTCTGTTTAGAGTTTGTTTTAATGCTAAATTTGATATAATAACACTATACCTTAATTATAGTGACGAAGTACTTCATTATTGTATCGAACTTTAGGAGCTTAAAATGTCTCTTAAGAATCTTTCTTACATGAATAAGCCACGATTAAGTGATAGTGTGATTATATTCAATTTAGGCTGCTAAAATAAACGTTTATGCTAAAATTTCTAATGGCTCCTCATTTTGGGTTAATTCGAATTCTTTTTCAATATACTACCCTACTTCATTTAATTATTTTGCGAGCAATCTCAGAGAATCAATAGACAAAAACTAAAGTTGTTTATTGATAATCAAAATCTGTTCAAGACATTCAATTTTAGTAAATTACAATTTTTTGTTAGAAATTAAGAAATCTATGTGTTATAGATAATCTGAGTTTTTCAAAAGAATAAATTACTTTGCTCTAATTAACCCATCCAAACAATATACAACCTCTTCTTCTCTTAATGAATCTCTTCGAAATTGTAAAAAAGCGCTGATTTAAAAATGATCATTTCCAATTTTTTATTCTAATATTTAGTAAATATTAGGCGTATAAGTTTGTTGAATGACCTTTTTCCTTCCATTTTCCTTAACTACCATACTTTTTACGATGTTTGAATAAAATTGATCAAAATTGGCTATGTCTTCTTTTGTCAATTCCGGATTTGTAATTTAATCCAGTTTAGTTGTAGCAGCTTTAGTAGCTTCCTAAATACCTTGTTTTTTAAAAAGCTTTACAGATCCAAAAAAATACTTAATCATTATTAAAATTAATATGTTTCTTTGAGATGTATTAAGTGCAAGTATTTAAAATATATTTTTTCAATCAATTTGAACTATCCTTGATGAACACAATGATATAAAATAAGAAAAGTACTCAAAACTGTCATGAATTATTTTATATATATATTAATAAAATTGAATGAGATATTTGTAAGTCAAGAGCAAAATATTTTAAATGTATCTCAGAGGACTGCGAGGGTTTTTCCAACCCCAAGACGCAACGGTGAATAAGAGAAAAATGAGAATATTTTTAAGTCTCTTGTTTTCATTATATTCATATGGATGGATTTAACATAATTGGTTGAAACATGTAATTTTTAGAATTCAACAAAGGAATTTGATATTAGAAAATAACCAAACTTTTTGATTCCAATTTGGGTTTATCATGCTAGAAGAGAGCATTATATATATTATGAACAATCAAGATTGGCTAGAGGATTGAGCACTACATTCTCATATTATGATTGGGATCCAGTTTCATAGATGGTTTGCTATACAGATAAACAAGGTAAACAAAAATTCGAGAAAAGCATTTTTAATAGAGAGAGACTCGATATCATTGATAATGCTCTTTTTGAGGAGATCTTTAGGGGAGAAATGACATCAGAAAAAATTAAACGTGGGTCACTTTTAGTGGCCTATGAATTGAATTGCAATAATAGATTTGATTTAGATGTATGTAAACATTACTACTTAGAATTATTTACATTACAAACCTATAAACCCTATGGATTTTATTAGAGGGCTTCATTTTTAATTTTATGTGCAATTAGGATTGACAAATTAGTATAGATATGATCATTTCATATCCAAACCTGATTGGCTGTATGAATGGGAACAATGGAAGATTGAATTAAATGGGATGGATCGATTAAATTATTTTAATAAATTCATCTCATAAAAATGAAGTAATAATTGTTAATTGATTTTTATCTTTTAAAATATTCAATATTCTTTTGTATTAATAATTTTCATAATGTCCACCCATCAGGTGTTCCAATTATGAAGTTGTAGCTGCTTGTTACAGCATAGATTTTGCCTAAATGAATCAAACTACCGTTCTGTATCTGGCCAATCTAAGGAGGATTTGGTAGATTCTCAATGGCAAATGATAAATTTTACTGATCCACCATCTTCAATAATTAATATTGTCCACTTCCAAATATTAAAACATTAGAATTATTTATAGCCACCATGCCAACTCCCCTGTTTATGTTATGGTTTAAGGATGTCCATTTTAATAGTTTAGTATCAAACACTTCTAATGGAGTTGATTTAATGATATATTGTCTAAATGCGCAAACTGTCAAATTAGCACCTCCTTAATTCATTTTCGGTAGGGTTACTCTAGTTTCCAATACAGCTCTTGATTTATTTAATTATAATTCCAAACCCTCTATTGAAGTCATATCTTCACTCTAATTTTACCCACCAAGAACGTATAATTTATTTTATAGAAATATTGGGGCTGAAGAATGTCGAGGGTACTAAAGTTGATCAGTTGAAAGCAGAGTTTATTATTTAAAATCTAATCTAAATATTTAGGAACTCAACTGATTTCCAATGTAGCCACCAATAACAAATATATCTCCTTGTTGCGAACGCACAGAAGAACTTTTAATTGGAACTTAACAATTCAATCGAATTTCTTACCATCTTGGATTTTAAACCCATTCCAAATTTAAGAAGAATATAGATTTATCAGTAAAGTAATGTAAATATTTTTAACTACATAGTGGATCGTAAAAGTCAGGTAAATTTATTGTAAAATTGGATATTCCGACTTACTAAACTAGATTATTTTATAAATATATTATACATTGTTGTTCTAATCTTTTATATGGTGATTGCTCTACCTTAGCCGTTTAAATATCGCTTGTTAAGTATGGATGATTATAGGCTGTGTTTTTTGGAATTGATGCAGAAGACTAAATTTATTAATTTTTGTAATATTCAGCATTTTTTATTGAAGCATATTAAGCCAATTGGATTTTCAAAAAGTACAACTCTTGCTCATCTATTTATATATCTAATGTGTGTTTTGATACTTCTTCAATGAATGCCTCACATTCAACTCGTTATTATTGTGTCTATTGAAGGAAATTTGTTGTTTGCAATTAGATGATTTGTTTGAGATATTTTGGAGTTCTTAATTTTTGGTCAATCTATTAAAATTCCTGAATTTTTGAATTCAACGATCTTTCCATTTATTGTAATTCAACATCTAAATGTGTCCTATCAGTTTTAGTTACTTAATCAAGTTCGTTCAACAATTCATCAAAAAATTAATCAACCATTTGCTAAACACGCAATTTTGAGTTATTCAGCTTTGTATGCAATTTTCCATGAGCATCTGTTTTTGAATCTTTGAATTATTATAATAGCTAAATGGCATAATTCAAATTTGTTAATTAAGTATTAATCAATTGCAGTGTCTCCTCATGCATCTCATCCACGGTGACTAAATCTGCAAATTGTCCTTATTATCTATGTTTATCCAGATGTTAAGGGATACATTTTGGACATAGTGGCATTAAACAGCCAGGTTGTTTACAGAAATTAGTGACACTCTGGCCTTAATGTGTCATACAAGGAGCTTACAACTGAAAATTTTAAGTGGAACCCACTTCACTATGATTAGGAGAATTTTGAATATTGAACATAAATATTAATGTATAATTAAATAATTGAGCAGAAAGCTATTGAATCTCTTCTGAACATTTGTTATGACGATTAACCACAATATGACGATGATTATGAATGTGAAATCAAGAAAATATTGCAAAGAACAATCACTGAAAGATTGAAAAAATAGAAAACAGAAATATCAACTAGATTAAATACTATCAGTTTCCGTACAACGTCGAAAACTCCTAATCAATTTAGGTTCAAAACTGAAACCAGATCTTTAAGTAAACCAGTTAGACTCCCAGCGAGAGTCAAAAATTTTTAACTCATTACATCAAAGCCACCAGGTAAACCTACTGCTAAATCTTTACGGAATTTTAATCAGAAAAATTAAGTGCCACTAAAAGCATCAATTGTTTCCTTGCAAAATTCCTCTGGATTTAGCATACTTAATCAATCTGAATATCAACATCCTGTATTAGTAATTTAGAAGAAATCACAATACATTCCAAGATTTGTGTTGAAATTACAAAAATCATAACTTCTAAACTCAAAATGATTTATATTTAATTATTCACTATTCACCAAATTCTGTTTTTAGTTAATAATTATATAGATGGAATTATTCATTATAAATTATTTCTTTAGAATAATTAATTATGAAACTTATCTAATCTTAGATGACTCAGAACAAAGGGATTAAATTAATTATCAACATTTAATTAATTCACAAATGTTCTTTTAATTAGATATTAATTAGTTAGTTTTTAATTGACATAAATATCATATTCAACTACAATATATCATCAGGATGAGATTTTAAATAAGAGTTTCGTTTGCCTCTCAAAAGCAGCATCACCATAAATTACTACTTATGGGATTAAGAATAAATATCTTCTAGCATAGTAAAATTGTTTGTACAAATAGCGATTGATAAGTGCGAAAATAATTACTAAGGTAGTAATCATAAAAATTAAATAAATAATGGAAATAATCTATATATATAGTTACATTTACAAATAAACTATCCTAAACCAATTTAGCCTAAGATAAGAAGTCATCTTTAAAAGCTACATTCGTTTGTTTTATTAATTCTGATAGAATAAACACTCCCTCTAATTCATTCACAGTGTTTTCAGTTTTGTTGAGAAATTTGTTTATTTGTTTTTCATTGTTAATGCTAGAGTAAACAAAAACTAAAGCTCCCTGCAACCCTTTCTATAGACTTCCTCCTAAAGTTGAGAAGCATAAGTCCTTGCTTTTGGTCATTAAATCTTAAGATAGCAGGTCGCAAAGATTACTATTACTAAGATCTTCTAGATATTGATAGAAACTATGACTAAGTACGAACTCATCCCTAAAATCTAAACATAACTATTACATTTGGAGTTAAGAAAAATACAGAGTGAAATTTTAGACTTGCTATAAGCATGTTTCAATTTAGAGCAATATTTAAGATATTTCTTCATCTTTATAGAAGGGGTATCTCCATCGATAATAAAGCACCTCTCTCATAGCATATATAGTCGGAATATTTGTACCGAGATGCGACATTCCCAAATAGAATTCACAAGTTGGTTCATATTTGTTTAGATAATTCTTCATTACGAAATATTTTAACAGCCCAAAAGATATAAGAATTATTGATTAAAATAATAGAACTATATATTTATTTCCAATTGTCAATCTAATAGATTTTTCTTTCCCGTTTTATTTTATTGATGTCACATTTGAATGATTTTTATATTCTTCAATTTCGTTTTCTTTTTGCTCTATTCTAAATTGGAAAGGTTAAATTTATTCTGATTTATTATACATATCAATAAATCTATTGAGACGTCTTATCTCTTATTTTGTTACTTCAAGATCGCAGTAAAGAAGGAGAAGAAAAAACCTACTTAAGCATTGCTCATTTTTAAATAAGCAATATATTTCCAAAGCAAAAAATACCAATTATAAAATAACAAAAGGATAAAATAAGGTTATCTCCTTATCTAAATTTAATTCAATTCTTAGGATAGTTTCCAAAAATAATTGTTCATTTAATTCGTCAAAAGCATTGTATAAAGTTAAGAGATTTCGATAGGAATAGAATATATAAGGTGAGTCTGAGACAGTTCTACCATCATATTTATAGGCTGCTTTAAATGTGTATTAGTAATTGATTAGTATGCTTAATGACTATCTCATCGTGATATTATACAGTTCTCCAACATCTGTCTTTATATAAATATAAAAATCATAATATTCAGCTAAAAAGTCTTAAAGTGTCAATCTATTTAGAATGGCTGCTTAATTTTATTAAACATCATCAAACCCTAGGTTTAAATTTGAATTTGGAAACATCAAATATTTATCCAATTAACTCTTTGTGATTGATTTTGCTGTAAATTAAGCATTGTAATTGATAATTGTATATCTTGTAACAATAAATGATTCAACTGGTTAAAACAAATAATATTTAATCTAAAGGAGATCGATATCCACATTATTTTACTCTAATACATTAAGGCTTGTAATCAAAGAGATGAGAATTTAATTTAGGAATAAAATTTAGTTGAATATTAAGACTATGACTAATAACCTACTAAATTTACTAATAGTATTATTATGTCTTATTTTTTCGAAAATTCCATATTTTGAAATATTCTTAACAAAATACAATTATTTTTTATTTTCTTCCTCTATCGAACAACTTTCAATTTCCTCATCTCCATCTATAATATATTGACTTTAAAAAATGTTTTAGTAAGTGGTTGGTCTAAACATCGTTTATTGATTCTTTCTTCTATTTTAAAATTCACCTTCTTGATCAAAATCTATCAACGCTAATGTTTGATGATCTCTACCTGATAAAAGTACTTCATCTTTATTAGCACAAAAGCCATCCTATTTCTCAAGTAAATAATCTTGTGAATCGTAGGGAGAGATTACTTTAACTTATTCATCCATGTCGTCCTTATCATGTACTGCTATTTAAGCATATGTTTTTAAAGTTAAATTACGATAAGGCACTTTGACTTAGTTTTTTATGTAATTAAAAATAACTTTATAAAACCCATAATTTGATTTTATTATATTACAATGGGAAATATATGTATCTAATTTTGATTTATCCATCCAAAGATCATTCATCACCATTTATTAGAGTTTGCCATTATAATTTCTTGTAATAAAATCTAGATATTTTTGAAGTTGAAACCCTTTCAAAAATTTGAGTTCTAAATACTAAACCTAATCATTTTGAGATAGCTCTGTAAATTCTGGAATTAAATATCCTACTTTAATACCATGAAAATGTTCGCATAAATCTTGACTAATCTCAAGTGAATCAAAAAATCCTCTACTAAACCCAACAATGTTAAGATTTGCATCTACTATCAAGGCAATTAAATCTTCATTGGGTACATTAGCAATTGTAACTGAATTGATGAGGTTATTTTAGATGAAAACATCGTTTATAATAGTAATAGGATTTACGAAGTCATCATTTTGATAAAATGTTGATGTAGTCTCCTAAAAAAATTTAGATTCTCCTGTTTTTAAAAAATTTTTTATCATTTCTTCATGATATTCTTTTATCCCTTTTGGAACTATTTCTTCCAAGTGAGAAATAGGATATTTCATGATACTCTCGTAATTTGATGAAACTTTAAGAACCTTCCTATTTTCTAAATTAGTAATTAAATAAATTGTTTTGGTTGAATAAAAATCTAATGTTAGGGACAAAATTTTCGTATAAATTGCTTCATCATTAAATGAGGTTAAATTTGTTACTCTTAGAGCTTGCAAATAGTCATTACAAAGTTCTGCATATGCAAATATCAGATATCTTTAATATCTTTTCAAAGGAAACTGTTTATATAAATGTTCAATTTCATTTATAATTTTTTCAAATTTCTAGATACATTGATCTGCTTATTTCTCAAGCTTGGATCTCCTAATCTCATTTTAATTAACAAGTAATAAAAATTTTATTTTATTCTCGCAATCTTTAATCAGTTAGTTACTTAATTCCTCACTTTTATTTTCTACCTTAATAAAATTCTCTATATCAAGATTAAAGACTTTATTGTGTATCATTTGGCTAAATATAGTCATTTATTGTTTTAACTCAAACTTGCATTTTAAAGTGCAAATATCAAACTTCATTTGTTATACAAAGGATGTAGACTTAATTTATTTAGTAATATAATCATAAGCTCCATAATAGTCTTCAAAAAGTAGAAATAGAGAAAAATGCTGTTGTGAATCCTAAAATCTTGATAATAATTACTTAAATCTTGATTTTTTCCAAAAAATTAGAATAACTTTTGCCAGTACTTTTTTTTTTTATTATTTCACTAAATTTGAAATGTTTTTAGTTCAAATTTCGTTTATAGAATACTACTTTGATACTAGCATCATCGCTTTAATTTTAGTAGAATATATGAATAATTTTATTATGATAATTTTCCCATTCTTCTGAAACGATAAACTAATTCTCAAAAAAGCGATGTGAAATTCTAATCCAGAATGGCCATAATAGTATAAATAACATTTAAGGACTGCGGTTTTCTACATTCTAAAACTAAGTTATGAGAATTCCAAAACAGTAAAACACTGAATTCAAATAAGTGGGCAATTGTAATTTTAAAAGGCCTAAATTCGTTTATGGGAGGTAAGTGATTATGTTGGCTATATGTAAAGAACAAATTATTATTGATATGGCGACTTAAAGCAATAGCAAAAACCTACTTTAGTAATTTTACAGATATAAAAATATTTATGTTATATTTAAAATTTGGATGCAATAATAATAAAATGATTAATTCTAATGATTGAAAGTATGATATTTAAACATTATGCTAACTTTTGTAAAGGTAATTCTATAAATTAATATGCAGCAGTAAACGCATGCAATAATATATGAGTAAGCTTGCTCTTGTAATAATATCACTTCGACAATAATATTAAAAAGCCAAACATCAAATATTTAATTCATTAAAAACACTGTCTTGCTAATAAGAGAAAATTTATCATTCAATTTAATCAACTATTAAGTATTTGATCCTTACAGTCCAATGTTAATAAAGGATATAACAATTCCAATATAAAAAATGTACAACAATAACCTCTGGGTTGTTTCTTAATGATTGAAAAATAAATATGGTCTCATCAACTTTGCCATATAAACAAATGACTCATCTCCAAAAAATGTATTATAATTTGGAACCACTGCATATGAAAAAGGAAGCAATGCTCCTAGCAAGCCAAAAAAATATATAAATTACTGACTTACTTCATATTCTTACTCAGTTGTGATTGAATTGCTAATTAATCGAAAAACAAATTTACCAAAAACTTCCTTAAACATTTTATTTATAATAGAGAAAAATGAAAAGAAATACAATTTATAGAGTTAATATTTAAATATTTCTTTGGCCATCCCGTATTATTTTAGAAAATCTTAACAGCTTAAACATTTATCAATCTTCTGATATAATTTCGAAATTGCCAATTGCACTCAACTATAAAGAAATTAAAGACATTATTTAATTAATTTCTTTGAAAAAAGATACTGAATTACTTTCACTTAAATCAATTATTGTTAATAATATTAATAATATATAGATTAATCTTTCTAATCGTCGTAAGAATCAAAGTCTAATAAATATCAACTGCATAATGATTAATTAGTTATTTATACTCATTTAGATATTATTTTTTTTCTCATAATGATTTAATCCGCCTGCAAGATCTTCTTTAGTTAATTATTCAGTTTTCCTCTTCAGTTTAAAAATTTGTAAGTTTCTTTGTAAAAAGTAGCAACAATTAATATTATGAATTTTTATTGCCGATTTTAAATTCAAAGGATAAATAATGATCTAAAAACGCTCTTAAAGCCTTAGTTTACCAGTCTAACAATAGCAGATTGCAAAATTATAAGTACTCTATTAAAGTAATACCTGTTATCTATTATTCTTGAACCAATTCTGTAGATAATTTTGTAAAATGAAAATTGAAAATCCACCTGAAAAAATTTAATTAAAATAATAATATTTTTGTTCTTTGATAAGAATAAAATTAAAAATGAATTATTACCCATGTTTTATTGAAATTTAAAAATAAAGATATTATCATATGATTAGACCTAGAAATATATAATTAGACAGTGAAATATTAATTTAAGACTTGAGGGCAGTTTTTATAATTAAAGTAAATTATGATTTAATTTCTTAAAACTTTAAAATGCAATAAAATAACTCTCTAGAAATTATTTTGATGAGTTCTGACTCTTTTGATATACTTATGTACCAATTTAATTAATAATTCTACATTTTTCTGTAAAACTTAGTAAAATTATTAAAAAGTAGTGATTAGTAGGAAAATGTATTCTTAAGAAAACTAAGTATTATTACTGTAATTCATCCAGGAATAAAATATGGCTTGTGAGTAACATTATGGTTAAAAATAACAAATAGATAGTTGATTTATCGGAAACTTAGACAATAATTTAAAGCATTAACAAAAAGTAAATTGAGTAACCAATAATTGAACATCATCACACTTTATCGGAATTGGAGGAAGTGGAGAATGAGTCTTAGGAATAGTCATAATTTTAAGTATTGCAGGAAGACAAAGAGGAATTGGAAATGAAATTGAATTAATAAAAGAACAAGATTAAATTGTAAGATAGAATTATTGATAATTTAATTATTTATAACTTCAGTTATTTTCTAATTAATACGAATAGGATATCACCAAAGATTTGGCCATTAGTTCCTAATTTTTAAATACTGCAGGCATTAAGATTATACACTCTTCCTTATTCTTAATGAATCCATCAATTGGATCATGTTTTTATTGATTAAAAGTTATCCTCTACCCAATAGATTAGATATCAAATGTTAAAACAGGATCGCTAATGTAACAATTAAACATAATTTCTGATAATTTACTGAAGAAAGCCTCTATCAAATCGTTATTATTTAGTTTTAGGTATTTTTATAATTCTATACTGATTGATGATTAATTTCGCATACATTTTTCGTATACCTGTTTGTAATTTCCTTAAAATGATTTCCTCATCACATTCAATATTGGTCCATCTATGTTAGTGAAACATCCCACCTAAACATATTGTTTATTATATTACCTCCATTATATTTTTGAATAGTGGTGTGAAGTATTCTTGAATTATTTTATCTATCCGAATCATAGAAGCAGAAAAGAAATAAATAATACCTTTGAGATTTAATTCTTAAGTCAACACATCGAAAAAAATATCAAAACATTCGCATTTATAAAATTCCGCAATAGAATTACTTAATTCATTTGCCATAGGAAATTATATACTAGTGTTTGAAAACCCAGATACCATGCATCTTAGATGGGATTGCATTTATAGAATCTCATGCTATAGATTTTAATTTTCCTTAGTCAAATTCTCCTTCTCTTTCTTAGTTAATTGCAACTTATTCATTAATAGTTTTATTTTTCCTTTCAATTCTTCCTATGTTCCGTCTAAATAATCTTAAGGTTTTTAGTAATTTTCTTTGGCACAATTATTCTTCATATTTAAATTATGCTGTTACAACATTTATTTTTATATTTTAAATTTAAATCATAATTTGCAGTTAATAAAAATGGCTTTATTAAAAGACGATACTGCATTTACTCATGTAATTGCAATAGATTTTGGGACTGGAGCATCAGGGTATAATATTAGGGGAATTATTTTAGATTTGGATTAGCTCCAAGAATTTTAGATAAGGAAGGCAAACCAAGAATTGAGGTTTTCAATCCATGTGATGATACAGATGATCAAAAAACACCAACTGCAATTCTATTTGATAATAATGGTTAATTTATTGAATTTGGTTCTTAAGCACTTTAAAAATATGCAAGCATGCTTGATGATGGTGAAACAGCCTATTTGTTTTAAAATGTAAAAAATAATTATAAAATTCTTAGTATAAAATGCATTTGTATCATATGCATAATCAAGCTAGGTCATTGGATAATCGAGAACTATCATTAATGCTAATAATAAGGGAAACATTAAAATATATAAGCAGCAAAGCAATATAGAAATTGAAGGAATAGGTAGGAAAAGTGATACCTACAAAAATCAGATGGGTATTAACAGTTCCAGCATTGTGGAGTGAAGAACATAAATAATTTATGAGAAAGGCAGCAGTTGAAGCAGGCATAGTTGATCATATAAATTCTCCAAATTTATTACTATGTTTAGAACCAGAAGGCGCATCTATTCAATGTAGAGAGGATGCCGAATAAACACTAAAGGAATAAATGGCCAAGAACTCTGTTGTGATGGTTTTAGATTGCGGAGGTGGTACTGTTGATATAACAGTTCATAAATTATTATGCGAGCCAAACGAAAAATTTTTATGTAATGAATTAATACCATCTTCTGGGGGCTGTGAATGGGGATCCAAATATGTTGATCTCTATTTCGAGGAATTTTTGAAGGAGTTTTTGGGCGATAAATTATTTAGATCTTATTAATTAAATGCTATTGCTCGTTTAGATATATTAAGAGATTTTGAAATACTGAAAAGGAAATTTAAAGGAAATAAGGATGAAAAATGTATGATCAAATTCTCTTATTTGGGAGAAGAATTAAACACAAATAAATTGTCACTATTAGTTAAAGAACACAATCAAAAACATCCTCCAGAATATCAGGTTAAATTAAAGGGATTATCAAATGTTGAAATACCATCAGCTTTGATGGCTTCATTCTTTTAGACTCTATTTGAAAATATAAAAAATAAAGTTGCTTAATTATTAGTTTAAGTGGAATAGAAAAAGGAAAAAGTAAACTTTATTTTTATGGTCGGAGGTTTTAGCGAATCTCCTTTTTTGAAGTAAGAAATTATTAAAAGATTTGAAAATAATACAATTTCGATTTTAGTACCAAGAAGGCCTTAAGTCTCAGTCATAAGAGGGGCTTGCTTATTTGGTTTAAGTCCAAGATCCATCACAAGTAGAATAGCTAAGAAAACTTATGGAATTAATACATTAACAACTTTTGATCCTGAAAGACATCCGATAAAAAAAAAAGTCATAATAGAAGGAGAAGAATTTAGTGAGGATGTATTTGATGCTTTTGTTAGGAAAGGAGATGCTGTTGGGTATTATTATAATACTATAATTTAGTTGTGATGAGGTTCATACTAAAATATATTGTCCAGTCAGATCTAGGCAGACCATAATGAGAATCATCTTTTATGTAACTGAGAAAAGGGAAGTGGAATTTGTAGATTAATAAGATGTTCAATAATTAGGGGAATTGTGCATAGATATTGGAAAACCATTATAGTCTGTAGAGGATAAGACAGTAAAAGTTACTTTACTATTTGGAACCACCTGTATATATGCTACTGCAACTAATAAGGATGGAACTGAAATAAAAAATTGCGAGTTCAAATTCGAATGTGGGTAATGATCATTTTAATTAATAATTCAATTATAATAATTTTCTTATTTTTATTACCTAAATTTTAATAATGTTAATAAAAAACCAGAAATATTTTCTTAATCTTAACTATTTTTAATAAAATGGATTAGCATATCACTAATTCTTATTATTCGTAGACTTCAAAAGTGTTTTTTAGACCATTGAGAAGGAAAGACTATACTAAAAGACTTATAAATTTTTCACTGATAAAAAGCAGAATATTTAGAAGCCATAGCTCAACTGGAAAATCTTCATAATGTATATTAAGATTTATAAAAACTAATTTCGAATAGAATTTAAAAATATATTATTAAATTAATATCAAAAACAAAATCAAAAAACAATAAAAGCTTATATAATGATTTTAATATGTTATTTAGATTCTAAATGTTTAAATGAAAAATCATAAAATTCATTTGTATTATAATCACATAATTAATTATCATTCTATTTTCATGAAACTACCACACCTTTATGAAACTGTAATACAGGCTCTATTTTCTCGATTTTTGAAAAACAGTTAATATGTTTTTATCAGTATGTTATTTGTTTTTTACTGTAAAAAACTTGACATCCTTTTGTTTTTATACAATTAAATAAACCATTACTAATTAAATTTAATGGCTGTTATTGATAAAACTTCTCCTATTTCAATATAATATAATTTAGAAATCATATAAGTAATTTCATTTTAATTATAATTGCATTAGAATTGAATATTGTAAGAGTTCTCCCAAAACTTCATTAGAAAAAATAGAAAAAAATAATAAGGAAGAGTTTGTTTGAGAATTTTTAAAACATATGATATTTATGATCAATAAAATGCTTTATCAAGAATCGCATATTAAAGACTTGCTGAAGTTTTAGATGTGTCTTTATATTATTGATGACAAATATTCTCCCAAAAGATTAAATTATCTATTTCAATGATTTTAGGTTTTTCATATTCTAATTCAATTAATGAAAATATTTTTCTAATTATTGCTTTATTAAAATATTTCCATTTGCCATAAGGTTTTTTAATTTTTAGATACTTATTTATCATCAACATATTCAGTGAATTTGATTAAATTGAAATTATTGATAGATATATACTAAACAAATTTTGAAGTGAATTTAATCTAAAGTGATATTAATGAACTCAGAACTTACAAAAATTACGAACGAAATATCTAGTTTTTTAGACATTCTGATGTTATTAAAACTTTTTGTTCCTGAATTTAATTTTTATAAATGAAATTTTCGATTTTTATGATAGGAACAGAGAGAAGCGAGAAAAAAACGACAATTTAAAGAATTTGTTTTCAAGATGTTGTTTTAAACAGTTAAATTAAAGCAGTTTATTATTATTAAATTCTATTCTTAATAGGAAGATATAATATTTTCTTCATAATCAAGTTTATTTAACAATCTTTGCAAATTGTAAGAAAATATTAATTCATAAATAAAAAGCAATTAAAAATTACAAAAAATGTATTATTATTTTCAAGCAAAAATAGCATATATTTGGAAATATTTAATAGGATTTCTTTAAATCTAAATCTGATTCAACTTAATTTAATATTTTTCAATGATAGATTCCATTTATGAAATAAATTAACATGATATTTAATAATTATCCTTTAATAAAATATCCTTAAAATTAGATGCATAATTGAATATAATGAATTTTAAATTCATCATCCAAATCTTAAAAAATTGAAAGGTTATTGATAAAAAAAGTAGTTTTCTCATTCTTTAGATGCAGGTTTTGTTATAAAATAGAGAATTTTTTATTTAAACTCCGTAAACATTAACATCAGAAAATTGATCGAAGTGAGCGATTGATGAATTATAAAATTTGCAAGAATCATGTTCTTAATTAGAACTCTGCTTTAAAAGATAATAATCCATCATCATAAATTAATGTTAAATCAGAGTTAATCAAGACCATATAAACAAAGGCTGATTTTAATATACACCAATTCCCTCTAGTAAAGATAGTTGATGAACTTGTATAAGTGTTCAAAGAGCTGATGAATGGTATTTGTGCATGAGAATGGTGTTTTTCCCAAATCAATTTCCAGTGTTCTTTACCCACAAAAATTCTCTATTAAATTAAGATGCATAGATATGGACTAAATTAAATAGGCCTATGAAATATGATTATATTCCTAATTCATGAATTAGGTAAATTTGAGTGTCAAATTAGATAAAGTTTAGTGAAGATATGGAGAAAAGTGAAGAAGGTAACAATACTTTGGAGGATATATTTTGACTGGTTAATCTAAACCTCTCCATACCTTAAGTCCTTAAATAAGGAAAGGAATCAACTTATTGCATATGTGATTTTGATTTTACGGTAGTAAACAATAATTTCCCTCAATTTAAATAATAAAGATTAGCAGAATACGGTTTGAAAAGCTTCGTGTAAATAGATCTAAAATATAAGGTAAACAAACAGTTTATAAAATATATTTTTGATTAATTTCTATAGTAAAATACTGAGATAGATGTTGCTTTTGCTCTATTGAAACCTCAGTAGACTTAAATAATGATTTTCATTATCTTTATGATAATTTCTGTGAGACGTTCAACAAATTGAGAAGAGGATATTCCATGATAATTATTATATATTATTTTAAATTAATATATGCATTATAATAAAACTAAAGGTCTTTGTCAAACTACCAATATTTGTAATTTAAATAATATTAATTTTAATGTCTGGAGAATAAATTAACCTTTGTCATGAACATCAGTAAGAATTTGTTGCTCTAGAAAATGGAGAAAAAGAGATGGAAAAAATAAGATTATGTCTAAAATGCTTAGCAAATGGGTATAAGAGGAAAGTTATTTTGATAAAAGAATAGATTAAAAATGTCTAGAATTTAAAATCAAAACTTAGTCAAGAAAGATAAGAATAAGTCAAAGAAAATTTATAATAAGTGGCAGGGTTGATAGAACATATTTAAAAGCTCAAAGAATTCTATATTAGTTAGATAAAGTCTATTGATGAGCTTGGGGAAATTTGGAAGCAGAAAATTCAGATTATGGGGGATTCTTTTATAGAATAGGTCAATAAACAAGAAGAAAGTGATCAGGAATAATTTTTATATTTTGTTAATCAATTGTAAAATACTCAAATTCAGGAATTATTTGAATAAAAAATTAAAATTGAAAAAGAAATATTTTCGCTCAAAGAACCAGAAGATTTGTTAAAATGTGATACAATTTTAAAAGCTATTCAATATGACACTAAGAAAATTGATGTAGAAACAAAGGAGGAGGCTTAAGAGATAATAGTAATATATTAAAGATTAATTAGAAATTAAATATATTTTGTGAAGAACATTAAAATAAGAGGGTTAAATTATTCTATTTGGGGACAGAAAATAGAATTTAAAAGCGCTTGGCTTGTTTATAATGTTTTGATAATCACCCTTCAAAAGATTATCAAACAGTGGATAAAGTTCATTCAAAATGGAATAAAATTATATAAAAGCGGCAAGAGAACATGAAAAGGAATTTACAAACAATATAAAAAAACGTGGAATAAATAAATGAAGATATGCAATCAATGTAAGAATCCATTAAATAATCCTTTGATAAAAATCGTTAGAATTTAACCTAAAATTACAATTAATATATATCAGAAGTTGAATAATGTAGTAGTAAAATGAATGTTAAATGGTAATAATTATAAAAAGAGGAAATACTCAATATAGTTGAAGAATTGAGTAATACATAATAATAATAAATATCTAACGATCCACTATTATAAAAGTATGTTACTTAAGAGGAATTAGTAAATGAAATTAAGAAAAATCAACTTTTGTATTTATAATAATGTTAATTGACTGAAATTCGCAAATTAAACAACCCTCTCTTCTAAAATTTAATTATTGATGAAATGGCAACACAGTTTTAAAAAATTTTACCAAATTAGAATGGTATTTTCAAAACTAGAGGTAGTTCTACTTAGATACAAATGGAAGTATAAACAAAAGTTAAAATTAATAGTTAAAATTTCATATATAATTTAATGAAAGAAAGCTCAGTTAAAGAAGAGCAATCATGTCGTGCAATGGCTTTTAATTAAGATTGTTCGGTAGTATTCGTTGGATGTAATGAATAAATACAGGTATATGAATTTAGATAGGAAAGGTTAAAAAAAATTCAAACTCTTAGTGTGCATGAAAGTAGTGTTGTCACTGTAAATTTTATAAAAAGGTCGAATTAATTTATATCAGGAAGCGAAGGAGATGGTTAGATTATAATTTGGTCGCTGAATGACAATAAGGAATGGTTTATATCCTAAAAGTTAAACAAACACTCTACAGGAATAAGATGTTTAATAGTGAATGATAGTGAAGATATAATTGTATCATGTGGCCTTGACGATAAACTTGTTTTTTGGATCAAAAAGAATTAATGGATTTCAAAATAAACAATTAAGAAATAAGGTGTATATGGATTAAGTATAAATTAACAATAGAATAAATTGATTTCATGTGTTTAGGAAGATTAAATAGCAATATTAGAATTTTCAATATCAGAAAAAATTTGGGTAACAAAACAGTAAATACCTTTATAACAGAAAGGAATAAGAGTATGCTTTATTGATGATAATTAATTCACAATTTAAACATATTAAAATGATATTTTGGATTTCTATGAAATGAAGAATAAAGATGAATTTACTAAAACTAAAGGAATTAAAGTTTTGAAAGGTTAATAGGATGAATGTCCTTTTTTCCCTTTATAATATATAAAGTCATAAAGTTTGCTTGTTAGTAAAAATTGTTAATATATAAATATTCTCAATAACAAGCAAAATGGAGAATTTATACTTTAGCAATCCATAGAGTTTCAAAGTAGTAAATTATATGGATGCATGAGTGATGATGCATAGTACCTAATAACTTGGGATGATGTATCAAAAGAAATACAAATTAGAAAATACTAAGAATTGTGAGAGGTTTTTCAGTTCTTAAAATGAAAATTTATCAAATAAAATAATCCAATTTTATTTTTTTGAGAGATCAATAACAAGAATTGTAGGTATCCTAATGAATTTTCAATAAAAAATTGGCATCTCCTATTTTCTTAGATGATCTATCTTTTTTTAGAATTGTTAAAAATTTTAGGATTTCTCCTCTGGAGGATCCATTACCTTTTTTTTACATTACTTTCTTACCATGAATTTCTCTTTCTGAATTATTTAAAATAGTATGAATTCTTTGTAGATATTGATCTTAAAACAGAATTGCAAGAATGTTTAATTTTATTTCCTAAGATGTTCCGAATCTGAACTTTAACTTGCAAAGTGTTATCACCAATTGCATCACACCTTTAAAATATCAAAATATTGCTATTTATTTTATTAAATTATCAACTTAGTTTGGAGAATCAATTTTGCATAATTGTCAAATTTTCGCTTGAGTGGATTGCAAATTCAGAATAAGATGAGATGAACCTCTGACATTTCCAAGGAGAGTTTTGAGAGATAAATTGCTTGAGATAATCTAAATGATTTAATTATAAAAACTATTTAAAGGTAAATAGCAATTTGTTAAAATAGGAAATAATTCAGGTTGCAAAATAATTGATAATGAATTTAATAATCCGTCTATTAATTTGAGAATCGATAATTATTTATCATTATAAAACTCAGACTTAAAGGCATTCTAAGAATAACATGAACCTCAGTTATTAACCATTTCATTATAGAAAAATTGAAAATATATTATATCAGTAATTATAATATTACAACCTACATCTAAGAGATATATTTCGAACATCAGAAAGAAATCATATCATAATATTAAGCTCACTAATTTTTTGAAGCTTTTAATCCTAAGATTAGAAATCTTCAAATCCTATGCATCAGGAAAAGTCAAATAGGTAATGCTAATAAATGAGTTAGAAGATTTTTGAAATCTAGTTTGAACAAATTTCAAAATAATGTATTATTTTTGAAACATTAATATTATCACCACTTGAAAGAGAATGTGATATAAGATGATGATTTTTCTATTTCCCTGAATGGTTGTCAAAAGCACCAAAAATTTATTTCTACATGTTTAATTTAACATAATTTATTCCTTATAATCTACTATACTTTGGATATAAAATAGTTAACTTTATTATTCCATTTCTTAATTATATATTTTCACTTTTGTCAATATTGCAATCAACTAGATGAGATTCTTTGACAGCTTTTCTATATACCCAACATTTAACGTATGATTGATATCCTCAGCATTCTTATATGATTGAGTGGTTTATTCAATTCAATGTGCTAATGATTTACTAAGTATCTATTTGGGCTATGATGATTTAGTAAAGCAGGATTCATGAATTTCTCCAAGTTGAATATGAGCATGAGAGTTTTTTTCTATTTTACTAAGGTCTAAAGTTCCTCTTTCAGTCAATAAATAAGTAAGTCTGCTAAGTGTTTTGGAATCCTGTAATAAATTGTATTTATACAGTCTTTTTAATTTCTTAGAAACCATTCTAAATATAAATTGAAATCTATTTCTAATGCATAAAATTTCTGTAACATTTTTACATTTTATACTATCATACCTTATAAATGAATTAAGTTTTTTTTTTTGTAAGGCTGATTTTAAGTTAGTTTTATCAAATTATGGTTGCTCTCTCATTTAATAATTGGATGTAAAGGTTTTTTCTTTTTTATCATTTCTCATAAGTTCAAATTTGTGTCATGTTTATCAAATCCCACATCACGGCCTTAAGTAAAGGTTACTTCCAATGGTTCATCATCTGAAGATATATAAAAGTCTGCTTCTTCAGGTCAGAGCCTGAGAATCTTTTCCATTTTTGGCAAGCAGAATAGAATAATGAAAAGGATGGTAATTCTGCAATTTGGAGAGAATTAAGCAAATTAAGATTTTGATATCCATTGTATAGAGTGTTTAAAAATGCCATAATTACAGATTATGAAGAGATGATTTATATTGATTTTCCAACTTATCTCAATGCAAAAGGATCGTTGAGATTTATTCAGAAGATCCCTTTGTAATCCATAAATCAATATGGCTATGTCAACTATTGAGAAGTAACATTGTTATTTGCACGAGTTGTGGTTTATAAAACATCATAAGTTAGTTCTGCTGTTTTAATGAATTCAGACAAGAAAGGGAAGAATTATTCTTTATTAATAGGTATTGATTAAACATAACATTAAATAAAAATCATCATTAATTTTACTCATATTAATTGGTTCTGAATTACTTAGATTACCCTCTAAAGTGCACTAATTATTATGATTAGAGTAGATTATTAGCTTTAGGATATTTATTATTATAATAACTGAGATAATATTGTTGTTGATAATCTGAGGATAACTGATTATATGAGTTATTCAATTTAGGTAGTCTCGGTAATTCAATTTGATATCTTAGAATGGTTCTAAAATAGATGGAAATGGAAGGTGTTTAGGTCTTAAAAATTAATGGGAATGATAGAAGAAGGGTATTGATAAATATTTTTGATTTTTTGCATAATTTATAATCAATCTGATAATTGCATTAGTAAGGCAGTACCTCTTTTAATCCAGAAATCTTCTTCATTTGAAGCTTGGCCTGGATTAGGTTTGCAGGGCAACATAACATCAAACTGATATGATGGTCTTTCCATGACACCACAACGTACTTAATAATAATATGTAGGACATAAATAAAAGTTTTAACCTAAACATATATGATAGTTTTATACCTTTCTTTGATTTACTTTTACCTTCTTAGCTGACTGGTTTGAATAAGACGATTGGCATTTAATCGTGTAATTTCATGGGTTCAGCATCTACTATATAGTTCTTTTCATCCCATTTTGCTCCTTCAAGGAATAAACCATGAATATATGCACCATCTTTGGCAGCCTGAGGTTCAGATCCATGTGGGAGGAATGAGAATTCCCATCCAAATTGATCAATTGGAGTATTGACCTTTCTAGCACTCTATTGTAATAAAGCTGTGGTGAATCCAGTAGGGAATGAGAATCCAGAAATCCAAAAGACACTGGGTTATTATTTGATCCAACTTCTTAATTGTGCTACTCTCTTCTCAAGATCAATAATCCAACTAGACAAAGGCTTTAAGGAGTGATAACAGAATTTCCATTATTGAGGAACTTTGTTATCAAATAGACTGTGCATGATGGTCTCAAGGTCTTCTGAAATAAGCACTAGACCACTAAGACCTTTGTCTAAATTGATGAGTGAAGTTCTGACTGTGTTTAATAATTTATTGTATCTGGAAATCTCTTACATCAACACTATTTTCAATGGGTTTTGATCTCCTGGTCTGACTTTCTCGATTGCTTCTTGCATATCAATTTCCTCTGGAACTTTGCCTAAGGTTTCTTGAATGAGTTTCTACACTTTGGTTTCCATAGATTCTTCACCAGCCTTCACAGATTATGGTGATAATGAGATGATAGAATCAATGAGAGCATTTGTATCAGCAATCTAAGAGGATATTTCAGCATTAATATGTTAGCCGAACACTTCAGCTCTCTCCACTGGTGGGAAATCTTCAACCTTACTTCTGTAGAACAATACATGATTGCTAATTTTATCATTCTTGCTTTCTTTTGGTTTGAATTCCTCTGGAATATAATAGTATTGAGAATTTTCAACCAATTTATATTTCTCTTCAAAAATAATCTTATCTTAGAAGAAACTATTAGCATACACCTTCAACAATCTTTAATCATACTTGTCTGTCACTCTACCTCCATAGATAACATCAGCTATTAGATATCTGATTGCATCCCAAGGAGGACTCTTCTAAACTGGTTAATCTTATTGTTGTTATCCAAGTTATTATTATTACTATTGTTAATTGTGTTTACTATCATGTTATGTCTAATCAACATACATCAAAAGAATATTATCAGCAGTCTCCCAATCTGAATCATTGAAATCATAGATAACATTCCATCCCATAGATTTGAATCTCTTACGTTCAATAATTAAACTATGGAACCAACAAAGTGAATACACTAATTTCATATAATGTAATTGATTGGTCAATTTCTACTGTGAAAGAATTGAAGGATCAAATTTTGATTATGACATATTGGTGTACAATCTATTCATATTAGCCTTCACTCCTTTAGGTGGTTCTGTAGTCACCTTTAGGCACTTCTAAAGTATGCTAATAGGGAATTTTGGATGAGGAGCAGAACTCAACCATAATCTGAACTTTTCACTTGTGGCATCTGATTACCTCAGAGTTTCCATGCATTTCTCTAATTCTTTCAAGAAACTCAAACTCAAATGACAATTTGCCAAATACACCCAGAGACCAGCCTTGCTACCTTCATATAATTTATCTATAGCCTTTTAAGCTTAACCTTAACCTAAGGACACTGGTAACAACTAGCAATCCTTCATCTTGGCAAATTACTCCAATTAATGATAGGGATCAACACCTGGAGACAAGATGAATATCACAGGCTTATTTTTGGTGGTGTCATTGTAAATTGAATCATAAGTAGTTGCAGGTGGTTAGGTATAGAATTATCCCATGGTTGCATTAACAAATGCTTATGCTGCCAAAAGAACTCTGTCAGGTCTGATTATTTTAAGTAAGATCATCTTCTTAAGACTATCACATTTTTGATCCCATTCACCTGGCAATGAATCTGATTCTGGAGTTGGACTCAAATACCACTTCTTCCATTCTTTGCCATTGTGAGTGAAAGCATTGATGATACCAGTAAAGTTTGGTAATTTATCCAAATCACAAATGGCTTACCATTATTGTTCAGTGACCCAATCTGAAATTGGATTGTGAGGTTGATTCTTTCTATCAGCATTTGGATCTCCACCTCTCAAAAAGAAGTTGTATTCCTCTAAATCAATTGTAATCTAACTCTTCAATTCACTTGTGATGTTCACAGCCATTTAAATGGCCAACAAGAGTTTATCCTTCTCGAATAATCCTCGGCATGCAGTTTTGAAAATTTCTTCAGAATGTCTAGCTGCGATATCCGATAATTTCTCTTGCAAAGAGTCATTTATGGATGCTCCTCTGCTTTGATATGTGTTGATATTTTCGCCAAATTACTCAATATAATTGGACAAAGCAAATTGATACATGTGATCAATAAGTGAAAAATCATTTAAGACAAAGAATAATTTGGATGCAATTCTGGCTAATGAACGATAGTTTTCTCTTGCTGCAAAGGTTTTCTTCATTGAAACAGCTGAGGTTTCAATTTGCTTCTTGACCTCTTCTTCAGTTTCCTTGGATTTGTCTAAGGTAACAATAAGATTTTCATCGTCAATCAAACTTCCTTTGATTTCCTAGAGCATCTTCAGAATATCATCATCCAACTTACGTAAAGTTATCTCATTTTAAGATTTCTTATTGACCAAATCATTCTTACTCTTTTCTAATTAGGCTTCCATAATTTGAATGACAACTGAAATCAATTATTCTTCCAGACCTTTTTATTTCACTGTGAAATTGACTAAAGTGACTCTTGTTTAGGTTTCAGCCTTATATTTTGGATTAGCCAATTTAGTAGTCATGTAGAATCTGAAATTAGAGTTGTACAAGATTTCTTTTTCTCCCATGTACATCATTAGCTTATTATTGACTGTTCTCAATTATTTATTCAAGACTGGTTCCAAAGAAGGATCCAAATCTTCTCCCATGTTTTCTAAGATCACGATTTATCCACTTGCAATTGCTGATTCAATTATGCTCATCATCTTTTCGTTCTAAGGATCTAACTCTTTAAGATTGTTTTTGTTTATGGCTCTTTCCATATTTTTAATCCAATTGTTGGCTTAGACTTATGGATCAATCATCAATGGCCACCTTCTTCCTTAAGTGACTAAAACACCATTTTCTTTAGAAAATTGGTCATCTGGCAACCCTTATTGATTCCATTATAAGAATTGAACAGGCTTAACTAGGAAGTCAGGGAAATTCCAATCTTTGGAGTAGGGTATTTTTAAGTATCTGACTTATCCAATTAATTATTCAGCAACAAATTGTTGTCTATATTCAGATGGGAATGGGCCTGCATAACTCAAGAATGCAGCTGTCATTAAGGCATCTCCAACCAAGACTTCAAGCTTTCCTTGCAATTCCTTTCTTCTAATAGCCCAACCTTCTTTGGTGCTTGCCAATCCTGATATCAACTTTTCTGCTCTTTCCAATTTGTTAACCAATACTGAAGTTTCTCTGGTATACATTTCCATATCATCTTTTGCTCTCTGCAAGTCTGTCTTCAATTTTTCAATACTCTACTTCAAAATCTAGAAGTTCTCTTGCAATTATTGGAATTCATCTTCACTCTTCTTCAATTTCTCTCTCAAATACTTGACTTTGGCTCTCTTGGGTTCGATGTCTTTAAATGCTTTAGCATACATTTCCAAAGATAAAACCCATCTCCAAAGAGTACCAGAAGCAACTGAAATGGCATCAATCTTAGAGGGAAGCATTTCAGGATCACTAGTGATTTTCTCAATTCTAACTAGAGTCTTATTCATGATATGATCCTTGTCGACTTTCTTTAATTGTTACAAGAAATCAGGAGCAGTCATTTCCTTCTTGGCACTTGCCCAAGTTGCCTCCTTACCCATGATAATCATGACAGCCTACAAGACATTATCGACACCATTTGGAGGTTTACTGTAAGCTCTAACTTCAGCCAATTGTTATTTATCTAATTATTCCAACCCTTGTTCAGCTGCTCTCAAAGCAGGTTCTGCTTTTTCTAAATCCTTTTGTGCTTCTTCTGCCAGAGTCTCCACTTCAGCCTTTTCCTTTTCCACTTGAGCAGATCTGGTTTCCACTTCCACTTATTTCTCATTTGCATCTCTTGATTCACTCTCTATTTTGATCATCAACTCTTCACAATCCTTACTCTTCTTTGCCAATTCAATTTGATAAATGGATAATTGCTTTTGCAATTCTTCACTGTTAGCTGCTGCATCATCTAATTTCTATAATCCCAAAGTGAGTTTGCGAACTTCACCACCAATTTCATTTTGTTTCTTCTCCAATAAGTCATTATACCCTTTGACCAATTCAATATAATTAGTGGGTGTAACATAGTAGATTCTTTTTAATTCTTGGAACATTCTATTACTCAAAGAGAGTACTTTGGTGTGAGCAGTTCCAAAGAACTTGGCAATGTTAGCAGTTAATTCATCGTCCAACTTTAATTGTAACAAATATCTGTTGGCCACTTCAACCAAAGCCTATTCTGGCCATGGCATAAACCATATCATAGTGGTATTATTAACCAAACCTGGATACATACGACAATAATTTCTTAGATTCTCTCCAGTCTTACTCATCAAAATCATGAGATGGAAATTGTTTTGAATTCTTGTGAAGAAATATTCGATGAGGTCTTCCTCTTGGATTTTAGCATCCTTGTCTAATTTGTTTTCTTCTCTATAATGCTTTCTGACTCTGTCTTTGATCTAAGGATAATCTTCCTTTTGACTGAATAGATTGGGTACCTCACCCACGGAGAGAATGTTGTTGATGTCTTCAATGAATCCCTCATTGGCAATTTGATTGTCGCTAAAAATGAAGGTTCCAGATACTCCCTTAAATCCTGCCTCTTCACACCATTTTTTGATGTCTTCTCTGAACTCTTTCATTCTGTAATTCTTACTGACTTCTATCTACCAACTCTTGTATTCAGCAATATGAGTGGCTAATTTGGTGAGTGAGTGTCTACCAGCACCACCTTCTCCAACAAGCATTCCGTGTCCTTTACCCAAATTAATAATACGATTGATCTTACAAATATAATGGACGGCTTCTTAAAAGAGAACTATGTTCATGGCCTTAGATTTGTTTTCAGTGTTGAATTAAACTAATTTCTCCTCCAAGAATTTCTTCAGATTCTCTCTGTCATTGTATGTCACTTCGATGTATTTGCCTCCACTCTCTTCCATGAAATTAGCAAAGACTGTGTCATCTTCATTTTCATTAGTACATTCTTTGATTGTGGTTTGAAGACATGAGACTAGTTGATCATTGATCAATTATTTGCATAATTATCTATCCTCAACACTAATAAGTCTATCATGGAATACTCTTAGACATTCATGTGCCCACAATCTAAGTACAGTCATTTTGTTATCACAATACAATCTGTCTAATTAGTAGACTCCTTAAATGACTTTGGAGATGTCTCTCATGTTGAAGACATAATGAGATTTGGCAGGAGTAGGCAAAAAGTTATTTGTGACCATCTAGAATAAGTTGTAAGTGGCTTAGGCAATGGGTTCAATGAGTAATTTGATTTCATCTTCGAATTCTTAAAATTTATAAGCCAAAATTGATTAATAGATTCTCTTGACTTATTGATCTGAAAGCACAACAAAATTGATGACATGGAATTTGTTTTGAATTCTTGTTGAAATTTCAGCTCTACCACCACCTGGAGGTCCCATAGCTGATACGAATTGAATATCTAAAATAAATTTGAACAACTCTCTGTTTGTACGATCAAACCATCCTTCGTAATCCATCCATTAACGAATAAGTTCAAGAGGTGGTTGACTTCCATAAATATCTTTTCTGGGCATATTGAGATCATCAATAAATATGATCATTTTCTTGCCATCAGGAATCATCTTATTTTTAGATCTCTTAACCAATTTACTTTCAATCATTTCTTGAGTCTTCTATGAGGAAGTTTGAGCTGAAAACACAATATTCATGGTAGTGTATTCAAACATCTATAGGAGTACTCCATTCAATAAAACTGTCTTTCCAGTGCCTGTCAATCCTACAGCCAACACAGCGTTTTTATTACTGATTAATCTGGTGATGATGTTCTTGTTTCTGACTTAATCAGTTGTTGGTACAAGCATTTTGTGATATGGACTATTATTTTCAGGTTTCCATTGACCAGTACCCAATTTTTCATCCCATGAAGCCCATTCATTTTTATCACTGTTTACAAAGAAATCATAGACTGTATTTTGACTGGGGAAGATCAAATCAATATCACGCATCTATTAGTCAATAATACGACGACCATCTTCATCTACTGTNTTCTGTAATTCTTACTGACTTCTATCTACCAACTCTTGTATTCAGCAATATGAGTGGCTAATTTGGTGAGTGAGTGTCTACCAGCACCACCTTCTCCAACAAGCATTCCGTGTCCTTTACCCAAATTAATAATACGATTGATCTTACAAATATAATGGACGGCTTCTTAAAAGAGAACTATGTTCATGGCCTTAGATTTGTTTTCAGTGTTGAATTAAACTAATTTCTCCTCCAAGAATTTCTTCAGATTCTCTCTGTCATTGTATGTCACTTCGATGTATTTGCCTCCACTCTCTTCCATGAAATTAGCAAAGACTGTGTCATCTTCATTTTCATTAGTACAATCTTTGATTGTGGTTTGAAGACATGAGACTAGTTGATCATTGATCAATTATTTGCATAATTATCTATCCTCAACACTAATAAGTCTATCATGGAATACTCTTAGACATTCATGTGCCCACAATCTAAGTACAGTCATTTTGTTATCACAATACAATCTGTCTAATTAGTAGACTCCTTAAATGACTTTGGAGATGTCTCTCATGTTGAAGACATAATGAGATTTGGCAGGAGTAGGCAAAAAGTTATTTGTGACCATCTAGAATAAGTTGTAAGTGGCTTAGGCAATGGGTTCAATGAGTAATTTGATTTCATCTTCGAATTCTTAAAATTTATAAGCCAAAATTGATTAATAGATTCTCTTGACTTATTGATCTGAAAGCACAACAAAATTGATGACATGGAATTTGTTTTGAATTCTTGTTGAAATTTCAGCTCTACCACCACCTGGAGGTCCCATAGCTGATACGAATTGAATATCTAAAATAAATTTGAACAACTCTCTGTTTGTACGATCAAACCATCCTTCGTAATCCATCCATTAACGAATAAGTTCAAGAGGTGGTTGACTTCCATAAATATCTTTTCTGGGCATATTGAGATCATCAATAAATATGATCATTTTCTTGCCATCAGGAATCATCTTATTTTTAGATCTCTTAACCAATTTACTTTCAATCATTTCTTGAGTCTTCTATGAGGAAGTTTGAGCTGAAAACACAATATTCATGGTAGTGTATTCAAACATCTATAGGAGTACTCCATTCAATAAAACTGTCTTTCCAGTGCCTGTCAATCCTACAGCCAACACAGCGTTTTTATTACTGATTAATCTGGTGATGATGTTCTTGTTTCTGACTTAATCAGTTGTTGGTACAAGCATTTTGTGATATGGACTATTATTTTCAGGTTTCCATTGACCAGTACCCAATTTTTCATCCCATGAAGCCCATTCATTTTTATCACTGTTTACAAAGAAATCATAGACTGTATTTTGACTGGGGAAGATCAAATCAATATCACGCATCTATTAGTCAATAATACGACGACCATCTTCATCTACTGTAGCTCCTATGCTCCACACCAATCCAAATGTAAACCACTTTTCAAGGAGTGTCCAATAGACATCACTCTTGTTCTGGATGTCCATAGACAATTGCTTTTCACTCTTAAAGAAACAATCCATCAAATTACAGAATGAGATAATGACATTGGTTTCACTGCATGGGATGATTTCTTTGCACCACTTTCTTTGTTTGAAGAGTTTAGGAATCCATCTCTCTATGAATTCAAGGATGGTTTCTTAAACCAAAGGATCTGTCAGTTTCTCAACCCAACTCTCAATGTAGGGTCTCCATCCAAGATCATTTATGTCCAAATAAACCATGCCTGCTCTTGATACTGTGGCTGGTGAGGCGACTGCAAGATTCTCCACTTCAAAAATCAATCCCATTTATGGAGGTAATGAGATTCTATCACCATTCAGTAGGGTCAATACTTTATTGTCGTCTAGCACTGTATTCATAGATTCAATCCAAAGTGTATCGACGGGTCCATCTAGGATCATCCATTTTTGATCTGGAGTTTCATCTTTGCACAAACGAGCCATCATAGATGATAACACACCATCATTCCACTCCATAGTAGAATTTACATAACCAAACNATTTTGTTATCACAATACAATCTGTCTAATTAGTAGACTCCTTAAATGACTTTGGAGATGTCTCTCATGTTGAAGACATAATGAGATTTGGCAGGAGTAGGCAAAAAGTTATTTGTGACCATCTAGAATAAGTTGTAAGTGGCTTAGGCAATGGGTTCAATGAGTAATTTGATTTCATCTTCGAATTCTTAAAATTTATAAGCCAAAATTGATTAATAGATTCTCTTGACTTATTGATCTGAAAGCACAACAAAATTGATGACATGGAATTTGTTTTGAATTCTTGTTGAAATTTCAGCTCTACCACCACCTGGAGGTCCCATAGCTGATACGAATTGAATATCTAAAATAAATTTGAACAACTCTCTGTTTGTACGATCAAACCATCCTTCGTAATCCATCCATTAACGAATAAGTTCAAGAGGTGGTTGACTTCCATAAATATCTTTTCTGGGCATATTGAGATCATCAATAAATATGATCATTTTCTTGCCATCAGGAATCATCTTATTTTTAGATCTCTTAACCAATTTACTTTCAATCATTTCTTGAGTCTTCTATGAGGAAGTTTGAGCTGAAAACACTATATTCATGGTAGTGTATTCAAACATCTATAGGAGTACTCCATTCAATAAAACTGTCTTTCCAGTACCTGTCAATCCTACAGCCAACACAGCATTTTTATTACTGAGTAATCTGGTGATGATGTTCTTGTTTCTGACTTAATCAGTTGTTGGTACAAGCATTTTGTGATATGGACTATTATTTTCAGGTTTCCATTGACCAGTACCCAATTTTTCATCCCATGAAGCCCATTCATTTTTATCACTGTTTACAAAGAAATCATAGACTGTATTTTGACTGGGGAAGATCAAATCAATATCACGCATCTATTAGTCAATAATACGACGACCATCTTCATCTACTGTAGCTCCTATGCTCCACACCAATCCAAATGTAAACCACTTTTCAAGGAGTGTCCAATAGACATCACTCTTGTTCTGGATGTCCATAGACAATTGCTTTTCACTCTTAAAGAAACAATCCATCAAATTACAGAATGAGATAATGACATTGGTTTCACTGCATGGGATGATTTCCTTGCACCACTTTCTTTGTTTGAAGAGTTTGGGAATCCATCTCTCTATGAATTCAAAGATAGTTTCTTAAACCAAAGGATCTGTCAGTTTCTCAACCCAACTCTCAATGTAGGGTCTCCATCCAAGATCATTGATGTCCAAATAAACCATGCCTGCTCTTGATACAGTGGCTGGTGAGGCGACTGCAAGATTCTCCACTTCAAAAATCAATCCCATTTATGGAGGTAATGAGATTCTATCACCATTCAGTAGGGTCAATACTTTATTGTCGTCTAGCACTGTATTCATAGATTCAATCCAAAGTGTATCGACGGGTCCATCTAGGATCATCCATTTTTGATCTGGAGTTTCATCTTTGCACAAACGAGCCATCATAGATGATAACACACCATCATTCCACTCCATAGTAGAATTTACATAACCAAACAATTCATTGATGGTAACAGCCTTTGGATTCAACACTTCAATCTTCACCTTTGGATACTTGTTGGGTTCTCTTTCATTCAATGAATTTAAACAATTCTTCAATACTTTCCAACATGTAGTCTTGCCTGCCAATGATTAACCTACAAGCATATTACCATGACGTGTATTCTTTGAATCATACAATTAGATGATTTTGTTGATGTGTTCCACTCTTGTTTGTAATTTGAGATTTCTCATCTGAGTTTCAATTTCATTGAATAATGTTTCATTTATTTACTCTTACAAGTCAACATTTGGAAATAGATCGTTGAAAAGAGCATTAAATAATGGGACATCTTCAGAAACAAATTTTGGAATGTTCATATCTCTTATGGCCCTCATTAGAATTTATGTCTCTTGATTGGCTTCGTCCATCTCACTTTCCTTCTAATTCTCTCTAGCATTCTCATCTTGCTTGACTTTCTGGATTTCATTTGATTTATCTCTTCTGATTTAACCAGCACAGGTGAGAACGGACTTAATTGCTCTTAGACCGAAATCATAATGATCTTGTTTAGACAACTGTTGGATCATCAATCTATAGAGTGTAACCATCTTGGTGGAGAGAGCATGTCCAGTCTTGAATCCCTCTGATGTAAGCATGATTTCACAAATGATTTCATTCTCAGGAACCATCATAGAAATTGGTCTGAACAAAGACTTCAAGTTGTCTGGTAGTTCTGATCTACCAGCATAACCAGGATTCATTGTGATGAAAATAGCAAATTGATCATTGATGGGTATAACATCTGAATCCAATTGGAAGGATGACTTCTCTTTATTCTTTTCGTATTCTTTCAATGCATTCATTATTTGACTCACTTGTTATGCAACAACTGATAACACTTCCACTTCAATACGATTGAACTCATCGAAACAACCCCAACCACCTACTTGCACTAATCCACTGAACATTCTACCAATACTCTTGTAATCTAATCCTTCTGAACAATTGAAAACCAATACAAATTTAGCCAAATTCTTACCTAAATCCTTAACAGTTTCTGTTTTACCAGTACCAGCAGGTCCTTAAGGAGCACCTCCTTTTTTCAAATGCATAGCTGTTGTCAAAGTCATGTAACATCTATCTGTCAAAGCAGTTACAACCAATCTACCATTGTTACCTTAATATTCATAGCCATAAGCAAAACTGCTATTAGCCTATTCAACCTTACACTCAAATATATCATTAACTGCTGTTCCTGTAAATCTTAATTACTTCAACCATTCAAAAGAATGAGGAGATTGACAATTCTTTGTAAGATGATCAATAATTTCCTTCTGATGTACCTCAATAGTAATTAAAGCAACCAATTTCAATCTATCAACTTCATTACTTGGTTTACGAATCAATTTAGTCAATTCCAAGATGAATGATTGTTTCTCATCTTTGATAGCCTTCCAGCCTCTATTCTTCTCTGGTCTTTCAGAATTGTAGATCTAGTTTAACACATTGGCACAATCACCAGACCATGTCAATTGACTGGCAGTAATTAACAATTATCCAGGATGTTCCTTGACCCATTTATCAACCCAACGCATTCCTTCCTTCTTCTTTATGGACTACATTGTTGAGAACAATTCCTTCTTGAGTACATCTCTCATGGTCTTCTCAGCCTAACCAAGCCATTTCTCTAGTTGAGAATCACAAAGGACTTTGGTGGTGAATTTAACAACTTCTCCATCTGGGGCAACCATGGCTTAGACTTCATAGACATCTTATTTGGCTCTTCCCGTTTAGTATTATTGAGTGAGGATATCGAATTTCTTGATACCTTCAAAACATTTCTTGATGTGCTTATTGACTTTGAACACATCTTTGGAGTTTCCCAATAATTCAAATAAGTCATCGTTGGACAAGAAATAGAATCTGGGGAAATCCTTACGTTATTTCTCCAATAATTAATACAAGATCTTTTGACTCTCGTCCAATTTCTAATTCATTGTACATAATTCTTAATAGAAACCCTCATATGATAACGACCTCTTGACATTCTTATCTTCATAGATACGATTCATGTGTCCTGATAATTAGGAATTGATTGCTGCAAACTTATTAATATCTCCCATCAATTGTTTTTCAGACTCCTTCTCTTGAGTGGCAAAAATGGCTTCCAAATAAATCCATTGTCTCTAAACTATGGATAACATTTCCAAGGTCTCTGAGATTTATTATAAGCAATTCTCCCATCTTTCAATAGTGGGTTTGAATGATTCATAGAAGGCAGTTGTTTTTTGAGCACTCAAAACAGCCATATGATCTTCCAAAATAGTGAAGATCTCTTCAGTCTTCTTGATTTTGTAGGTCTTCTTGAAAGTGTCCATTTCCAATTCAAGTTTCGCCCATCTCTAATCAATCTTATCCAAAGCATTTTCAATTTTGAATTCTTCCTTAGCAACTTCACACACATCCTTAACAGCTTCACCATAGGATAATAGATTTAATTTGAATATTTCAGCCATGTTGAAGTCTTTACTATCTGGTTCAATATTGGTTCCTAGATGTTATCTCATTTTATCCCAATGTCTGTCTCTCATATATTGTTCTCTCAACATAATGATCAGAGGAAGTGTTTATTTGAATTAATCAATAATTTATTTCATATGATTAACAATTTCCCACTTCTACTATTCTCTTGGCAAGGCCTTCAACTTTCTCAAATAATCATCACCAATCTCATCCAAATTGTCACAATTAACATCTCTGAAAGCTGTGCTTCCAATATCTTTAATAAATTAATCCCATTCTTCTTTTGTGTGCCAAATGTATGATAATTGCGCAATCTCCTTCTCCATGAATTCCAAATCTGGAGATGGAACATAGTTGAATTTAAATAAATCGAAACCAAATTTCATTGATTCTTCTTTCTTACGATATTGCTTAACTTGCTCAGAATATTCATTCAAATTCAATAATGCCTTTTCATGTGGCATATTGGTTGCTTGATAAGGAGCATTACTCTAAAACACAATCTTGTAATCTCCAGTTTCCTTGATGAACTCATCCAAGTTCTTCTGAGTCTCCAAATACAAATTGTTGTGTACTTTACGATTTCTCTCTTAGATTCTATCCAACATCACATTGAAATTAGCCCAAGTGTTTCTTAAATTGTTCTTTCTTGTAATATCATCATCTTTCAATTGTATTGAATAATCCTCCAACAACTTAAACTTATCTTCCAATGGACCTAATTTAGCCTCAATGGATGGTCTATCCTCATTCAACTTATTCCAAAGATCACTACTCTTCTTCAATTGTTACAAATCTTAAGGAACTATGTCCAAATTGGTTTCTGAGGTCTGGAATAGTGAATATAATTAATTCAAATCTTGTAATGCTTTATCTTAAGTGGCATTTAAGAAGGCATTCTACCAAGAGATCATAATATCAATCAAAGTAGATTTAATGGAGGTGTTATCCAAGATGATGCAATCTTAGGTTTTTGTGGTTTCCAATTGTTGTATCTCTCCTTAATGTAAATCAAAGGTTTCCAATTAAGTTTTGATATTAGTGATTGGATCATTTCTGTTGATCATGTCTTTAATAAACTTCTCCTTCTAATTTGCCTATTACCAATACCAATCGTAACGTTTCCATTAACCGTGAGCATCTACTGAATTCAAAGCATCGCAAGTCTTGCTCAATTTACTATTGATTTTCTGAATCAAACCATCGCTATCGTTCTTGATCTTGATATTCTGTTCGTTATCTAGACTCCTTACAGATATCTGAGTCTCCTACTCCTATTATTACACTTAAGATATTTCACTCATTCTTCTAATGTTCTAAGCCTATGGATTCTTGGAGTCTTTAGAATTTAATAAGATTGCTTCATCCAACTTCTTCTTTCTCTCCTCCTTCATAACTTCATCCATACTCTTAAAATCTTTCATGATTTCTCTCATATATTCACAAGTTTAAGAGACCATCTGTTTCAAATAATTTGTTGAAGGTCTATACTCCTGTTATTGATTCTCCAATTCCACTGATAATTTGAAGATGGGCACTGGAGTGATCTTACCATCCTCTGAACCAATTACTTTTTATAAATCAATCAATGAATTCTTTACTGCCTTCTCATAACTCTCCTTGATCTTGTAATCAATGGATTTCACCTGCTTCAACCAAACTGTTTAGACCTCAATTCTATCAAATAAGAATGGATCATAAGTCTCAGACAATATCTTCCTTATTTCATCAAATATTTATTTCAACTTCTAATACATATCTCTTCTGTGTTTCTCTTATTCTTCCTCGAAGGATTTGTGATCATATTGCTTCTTACGATCTATCTTTATTAACAATTTATTGGCAATCTCATTGCATTTACCATCAATCTTGTCCATATTGGTCTTAAACATCTTCAATTTCAAGAACATCTCTTAACAAGCTCTACGACAATCCCTCACTTAACTATCAATGATTGTCTTTGCACTCCATCTCAAACGGGATGCCAACGGTTATATAACCTTATTCACAGTCTCCAAATGTTGAGCAAACAATTTCTTCTCAGTTTCAGTCATATAGTCTATAATGTTGTTATATTCTCTAACTACTAACATCACCAACTCTCTGAGCACTCTTAAACTCTCCTTGTGATTCTAAGTAAAATCATTAGCATAACTTGGAATCACAACACCAACAGCTATCAATTTCTACCAAGCTGAAGTCTCATGTAACAATTTTAACAGTTGCCTATCAAAATTGCTTTCTAAATGACCAATCTTAGGTCTCAAAGATTCCTTCTTATATTAGAAATCTGGATGTTTCTCGTCTGTTCTCAATAATACTTGCTTGTCTAATCTGGTAGTCAAAACTATGTCTTCCAAATCTTTGCAATCTTCCTTCCATTCCTTTAGTCTCGATTCTATGATGAATTGTTTCAAATTCGATGATAATTATTCAAATTTCTCAATTGCTGTTCTCTTAATCGAGTCATCAATGAAGTACATCTAATCAATCCAGTATCTCATTCTCATGATTCTATGACTCAATGAATTAACCCAAATTGCCTATCCAGAAAATGAGCCGTGTTGTAAAGGGTAATACTATAGTTTCTTAATATTATCAAATTCATGTTTTGTTGCATCAATTTCTTAGATGAACAATTCTAAGACTACTATAGCCTTGTTTTGAACAACCCTCTTGATTGATTGTCTTTTAGCCAATTAATCAAAAGCTTCCAATAATTCAACCCCTTATTGAACTGTTGTCATACTCTCAAAGGCATTATTAATAATATTGGTGTACATAACATCCAAATCCTTTACTCCATTACGAAATGCATTGAAGACATCGTGCCACTTAGAGGCTTTCACATCTAATATCTTATCCTTGTCAGTTTTACGTATATCTCTGATAGGTTTCAAATGCTTAGCAAAACTATCCTTAATCTATTCAAGATTATCCTCAATCTCTTGACCTTTGCTGCCTCCAAACTGTGGAATGTGACTACCTGCCCCTTTTCTGGCAAATTGCAATTATCCTTCACATATTTCCAATAGCTCCTTACAACGAGAGATGAAGGCATCAACTTAAGCAAATATAGAATTATTGAAATCCCATTTAGGTCCTTTAGTCAATGATGACATCTTTTCAATCGCAACTGACATTCTTTAGTAAATCTTCTTCCATTGTTCTCCACACTCAATCGAATCATTCAAATCTTAAATGCATTTCTCCACATCACCATCCAACATGTCATTGATATTGATACTAGACTTGCATCTCTTGATAATCTCATTTGAAATTTTATGGATGAGCCCTTGAATCCTCTCTGGAGTATTAAAGTATCTAGACTTCTCCCATATATATCTCACTCTGAACAACAAATTTGGGAGTAATTCTGGGATCTCTTTGGGTGTAGCTGTCTCTAACTATTTGCAAGGTTCATACAGAATCTTTAGATTTTCTAAGTTGTCTTCTGCTTAACTGGATCCCAATTTTATATTCTCAGTAACATCCTTGAAACTTTAGACATATTGGCTATCGCTCAATATTTAGATGATTCTTTTCAACTCTGGCTTCTCCAATTATTCATGAATGTGTGACAAATTATTTTTTCTTTATCTCCAATAAGAGATCTCATCCAGTGGACCTGCATTCTCATTCTCAATAGCCAATTCTTAATTGTTCACTATGTCTTTGATTTGTCTCTACCAATGTAATAAGATTGCCTCCAATCTTTACAGCAAGTCTTTGTCATGAGAAGCCTACTCAATATTATTCAAGTCTTCATTTGGGATATACAACTCAGTAATACCTTCTTGACTGAAGGAATACTCAGTGAGAGTCGCCATGAATTTGTGTAATTGAGCCAAAAACTCTTTTTTTACATTTTCAGGCCAAGAGGAGTCCTAAATAAATTATGGTATGAATTAAGCATTCATTTGTTTCAACAATGTTTTCAAATAATTAATATTGATAACACCATCACTAACATACTCAGCAACATTTTCCTCACTTATTATCACATCTTAAGGATGTGGCAGTTTCAAAAAGTATACGAAGTCTGGATCAAATGCATCAGGTTCTAATCTAGGTGGATCAGTCTCACTCATTTGAATTCCTTATTCTGTCATCCAAGCAAACAAATTCGCCTATCCATGCTTACACATAAAATTAATAGATAAAATATCATGAGGATCTTTCTTCCACTACCATTGTTCAACTTCATATGAGTCCAAGTGCTCTAGCACTTATTTTCTCACGTAAATAGCACCATAATCTAAATACTATTTAACTTGTACCATTAGCGCCCGCTGACGCAAGTTACAATAACGATTTTCTTCTGGCTTCCTATCGATGTAATCTAAATCTAGGCGGATCCTCTGTTTTTCCTTAAGCCAACCATTCCTCTTTTGTTTTCTACCATTCTTCTTCTGGAATGGCTTCCTCTTTGTCTTCCGAGATTTGACTAGTGTGATCAGGAGATCCCCTATCTATTTTTGGGGATTCTGGCTGACGAGGTGAAGACTAATCAGGTAGTTCAATCTTAGTAGTAATCTCTTCTGGAGAAGTTTGATCAGGAGGAGGTTGCATAGGGGATTCTGGTTCACCATCATTCTGTAACATTTTTTAATTTAAATAATGATATTTATGTAATAAAAAATTACTTGTAAAGGAGGGGCTGAGATATTTATTTTTATTTTATTTTCATAATCTTTCCAGAAATTAAATTTCATTATCATTGACCAATACCCGTCTAACTTTATCACATTCTTTTTTATTCTTTAATCCTTTCTTAGTCAATTCATCTATCAGTATATTTTAAATTAATATTTCTTTTAATCTTTAAGCATTAAAGAGGAATTATACATTTACACTATTATTACGGAAAAAAAAATAATTATTTGCTACTTCATTTTTTGGAAACATAATGAATTTGCATTATTCAAAAGAATTATTTTCAATTAGGCTCATAAGCTATATATATTCATGTTCCACCTTTGATAGGAATAACTTAATTAGATTTTAAACCCTTTCTAATCAATTTATTTTTAGTTTGAACAATTTAGAGTGATTATGAAAATCTAACCTAAAATAATATATAGTTTTCTGTTGGTTTCACGTAATAAATTTCAAACTCAAATTCTTTATTAATTTCTAAACTATTCCTAAGAAGATAAATAGAGGAATTTTTGTATTTTAAATTTAAAAGAATATAAATAAACTTGAAAACAACTCAAATCATTAATTTTAATCTTGAATTAGAACTAGTCAAATGGGAAATATGATTAGATAAATTTTGTGATGTACGATTAATAAAAAAAAGACATAAATGATTAATTGAATCCAATTACAAAAGAAAATAACCACACACAATAAGTTCCTTTTTCCTAGTTTTGTAAACATATTTGAATCTATTGCTTATTTTTTTTGCAGATTTATTCTTTATGGAGGGTAAACGAGGCAAAATGTTAAATCATCCAAACCAAGAATATAGGTTTTCCACTTTCATTAGATGATGATAGAAAGAGAAGAAAACCTTATTATTCGAAATAATAGATATAATGGCAACAAATTGGTATATAATGATATGATTAAAATTTGGATAACATTTGGTTAAAAAAAAACATAATTTTATCTTGGTTTTAATAAATTTAAGTTCATATATGCAATTCATACTGGCCTGGATTTATTAATAAAAATTAATTAAAATGTTATCTCAAATGTTTTAAAAATAATCCATTTTGCCGGAGGTGGTTGTGTATTAGTAAACCAATTAAAATCAGGAATTTCATAGTCAGATAATTAAGATCTTTATAATTTCTTTAATAAATTCTATTTTTATGTTGAGAAAATTTGCACTAAGGCTGTTGTTGCTGCTGATTCGTCTGAATCTTAAGAAATAATGATAGCACTCTAATGGTTTATTTTTTAAGAAGAAAATATTTACAATCTCAACAAAAATGCTTAAAGTGTAGTGAAATCATATGATTTAATCTTAAAGGGAATCAAAAAGTTATTGAAAAGCTGTTTGATCTGCATTAGAACAGATTCTTTTAAATGTTTATATATCTTATAGATAACAGCGTCACTTTCTAAAGTTATATTTAGCTTCCATGTACTTAATGAGAAGAGATTTATGAAATGTGATTTATAACAGGAATTTTTGGATATCTCTGATGAACTAAGATAACAAATGTAAATAGAGAAGAATGATTTGATTCAAAATGAAATGGAAGTCTATCTTTTCTTAACAAAAACCTCTTTCGAGATCTCACCTAATAATGGAAAAGAAAAGGAAAAAATCTTATAAGGATGTTTATACGGTATTATTGATTCGATAATTTAAATGAGGCCAAACGAGAAATTGCTTGAATCATTATTTCAGGGAGCCTGTCTTATTTAAAAATTGTATGAGGTAAGCAACAATAGAAAATAATTTGAAGTTTATTTTTAAATTGATATGTTGTAATGGGAAATAATTAGTTATTTTAAGAATGATAAATTTTAACATCTAGATGAAATTCTTTTACAGGTTGAGCAAATACATGATAAGATGTAAAAAATTCAAATTTATGGTAATATCATTATCTTTGGGTGTAAATGATTGGAAAAATCATATATTATTATCCACATATAACTAAAAAGAAATTATCTCAGCTGATAAATTCTTTTAACTTTGGATTAAATCCAGATTAAATTTGGAATGAATGTAAGAGAAAAGGATTACTAATTTAAATGAATCATAGTAAAGACTAAGCAGTCATCTAACTTAATTAACTTTAGAATAATAAATTAGGTTCAATGGAAAGAAAAATATTAGAAACCTGTTTCAAAGAATGGGAGATGTTCTTATTACTTAAAGATTTTCTCATAAATGAACAATATTAAAATATCCCATTTACATTTGGATCATATTTAAAAAGTAAATTATTTATTGAAGGAAATGAACTCTAAAAAAATGAAATTAAATTTGCAATTAATAATATCAATAAGTTTTTGGGAATTATGATTTCCAATAAGTTGCTTACTTTAACTAAATAAAATGAAGAGAAATTGGAGGAAGTGATAAAAATTTTTAGTAATTTTATGAAGGATAAACATTATAATGAAAGTACAACATTAAAAATTTCATAACAATAAATAAAAAAAGTGATATAAAAATTAGAAGAGTATTTCTAAAATCTATATGATATAATTAAAATTTTGAGTCTTAATTAAGGTAAATTGAAAGAGAGAAATAAAGAATTTGAGAAACTTAATAAACTGTTGAGTATGAAGGAGATGTTGGAATTGTATATTCTTGAAGATGAAGGACATCAAAATGTTAGTGACGAAATTGGTACCCTTTAGGAGTGGAGAAATTTCATTTTTGTAGAGTTAAAAAATTTTGATTTGAAAGAATTTTAATTATCATTTCTTGAATTACCTTAAAATAAGTGCAAAAATTTGGGAGATGTTTAAAAGTTGATCGAGATTTATTAGAAAGAAATACATTAGATAGAGATACATTAGCTTCAAAATAACTTATTACAATATTTTTAGAATTTATTAAATAATCTATGTTAATATTATCAAAACATATGTAATGAAATTTAAGATACTTTTTCAGAATTCAATTTTCTCCATAAGGAAATTATGGTTATATAATATTAAATTGAGACATTTCCTTAAATTTTTGAACTTAAAAAAATTAAATAAGCTTTTACTGATAAGCATCTCCTTAAATTTCTAGGAAACTTAAAGTACAAAAGTCTGAAGCTAAAATTAAAATTGATTACTTCAAAGAAGTCTTTTTCAATGATATTAGAAAAAGCCAAACCAGAGGAGTTAATAAAGTTGTCAGAAGTTATAAATCTTGATGAGTTTTTGATCAGTGTAATTGAAGATTTTCCAAAAAGAATTATGAGAGAAAAATTTAATTTAAACACATTACTAACTGAATTATAGAATATTGAAATCACAAATATAGACTTTGAATAAAGGTTATCGAAGTAAAAAGGAATAATAAAATCCCTCCTATTTAAATAGAGTATAAAGGAAAAACAGATTGAAGAAGCAGAAAAAGATTTAGAGTTGTTTGTGAAGGAATTTGGTGAATAATTCATCAAAGAATCTGCTACCTAATTGTCTATGTTGAAAATTAATAAAATTTTTGAAGAGCTAAATGTTGATGAATCCTTAAAAAAGGTGATGGATGAAAAATTAAATTTATCAGAATTGAAATTGGAAAAAGAAAAATTTGATATTTTTTTATCTCAATTAAAAAAAATTGAAAATTTTTGTAGATTTTCGTAGTTAGAAAATTGGAATCAATTAATCCTATGAACAGAAACCTTGATTCAAACAATGGAAAAATTTGGATGTCCAAATAAGGAATTTTAAAAATGTTAATTTAAGAAGAGCTAATCTAATTAAAAACTCTAATGAGCGAATAAAAAATAAATTATGAAAAATACCAAGCATAGACAACTCCAAAAGACTTGATAAGAAAGGAGTAAGTTGATAATGCAAACAATGACAAATATCCTTAAATTGAATAAATTTAATTGAATGATTAAGGAGGAAAAAGTGAAAATGGTGAAAATGGCGTTGATAATTAAAATGGAAAGTAATTTAATTTTTCTAGCAATGAAAACTATAAAACATCCCTATCATTCATATTGAAAGTAGTAAAGTTAAAAAAATTAATACTGAAAGAAGAGATGGTTTTATTACACAAATTACTTGAAGAGGTTGTTTATTTTTCGAATACAATTAATTAAATAGAAAAGTTTAAAAAAGAAATTTAAACCAAATTCGAATAAAAATTTAAATGTTGTATTTAAGAATTTATTCAAAAGTTTGAGCAATTATAATTTTCATATTTTAATTTAGATTAGAGAATGATGAAAATTTTCATTTGTACCTTGAAAGTTTGGAAACAAAGATTTTTAAAAAGGTAAATGAGAAAGAGAATACTCAAATTAAAACCAATATCTTGGATTTTCTTAATCGTTTAGTATTTTATTTACAAGAAAAATTAGATTAAAAAAGTAGTTTTTCAATCATCCAAATTGAATAGGATTTTCTAATTCAATTAATAAAAAAAATATACTTCGAGAATGACAGTGAAGAAGTAGATGATGGGGAAGAATCAAAAGTATAATTTGGTTTATTAGATAATATGGTTAAATTGTTCAAAGACCTTAAAAATAATGAATAATGGAAAATTAAATAAGGTTTAGTTTTTACTATAATTTAAATTTCATCAAATTGTTTTTCAGATTCTCTTACATCTTTTTGTTAGAAAGTTCTTATCCAATTGTGGGTTCAAGAAAAAGATTTAAGAGTTAGAAACATTTTAAAAAAAAGATTGGTAGACTTAACATGATAGAATTGCAGGGAAAATGTAGGAAATGTTGAGCAGAATTGATGAATTGTAAGAACAAATTTCTCATGAGGCTAATCTCAACAAGCGAGATTTATACCTTAAAGAACTTGATGAAACAACAGAGCAATTAAATTAATAAATTGAAAATATCAGTGAAATGGGGTAATAATTGAGACTCTTAACCGATTTTGTTAATCATATCAGAAAAGGCTTGATCAGAGTGGAGGGGAAAATTAATGAAATGAAGGAATAACTCAAAAGCATAGAGGAAAATCTGTTGAATAATTATTTGAAATTAGAAAATGGAAGGTATTGAAAGATGCTGCACTTAAGAATGCTAAAACCATTTACATACCGTTAGAAACCAAAGAGATAGATCATAAAGGTGAAAAGAAAGAGGATAAATTAAGTATTTTAATAAATTTAGAACAAATTAATGATACTTAAGGAGAAGTGAATGAGTTTTTATTAGAAGAGAAAGATACAGTGTTATTAATTCATGGGATAGCTGGATCTGGCAAAAGTACAACAGCTAAGAAAATAGAAGAATTTATTTGGAAATTACATAATAATAATAAAAAAATTAGAAATCAAATTCTCATACCTGTTTATATTTCTTTACCTTCCTTAAAAAACCCTGTGTTTTAAGCAGTAGAGGAAATCCTTCATCAAGATGAGTATGGCTTTGACGAACTTTAATTAAAAGAGTGCAAAGAGATGTTAGAGAAGAAAGAATTCAGATTGTTATTGATAATGGATAGCTATGATGAAATGAAACTACAAAATATTTAGAAAAATTTATATATGAATAATAAAGTCAAATAGAATTGGTCAGACCCACTTGTTATTTTCACAACAAGAAGCGAAATTTTTACGAGCAGTAATTATTCCTTATGGTTTGCACCAGAAAAGAAAGAAAATTTAAAGGAAATTCAGCTTTAAAAATTTAATCTAAAATAAATAGAGTAATACTTAAAAAAATTCACAATTTAGAGCATTAAAATGTTGATTTTCGAAATATATGAATGGTAAACATAAATGTCAAATTAAAGAGGATTGGATATCAATAATTTTGAAAGTTTTGGGAACAATTGTAGGAATAATGTTTGAATTTGACAAAGTTTAATGGTGAAGCCCTTTTGAATTAAAAATAAATAGATGATATTTTATCATTTTTAAAGAATAATGAATACTTTACTTTTAAAAGCAATGAAGCTTTAAGAAGTCTAATGGTAAAATTATAAAAACTGTGGAGTGTTGAAATGTATGAAAAGATGATGAAGCAAATAAATTTATATAGATTGATAGAAACTCCATATATGATGGAAATAATAGTTTAAGTGCTGCCTAAAATGATGGTGAAAGCCTCTGATATAATTAATTTGAGATTAAATTTTCTACGAAATTTTCCAAAATGCTTCATGAGTTTTACAAAAGTAACTATCTGATTCAAATGTATAATTGGCAATAGAAAAAGTATATATAACAGGGTAAAAATGAAAAAAAATAATGGGATAAAGAAAAATAGGATAATGATGAAAAAGAATTATAGGATAATAAGAAAAAAGAAATCTATGATAATAATGAAAATGAATAAAAGGATAAAAACAAAATAGTATAATAGGATAATAATGAAAAACAATAACAAGATAATAAGGAAATAGAATTACAGGAAAAAAATGAAAACGAATAACAGGATAATAATGAAAAAGAATAACCAAATAATAATGAATAACAATAACAGGTTACTTAAACTGATGTGGAAAACTTGGATAAAATTAATTACTTTTTCATTGCTGATGAGATTTGGAATAAAATGGAAAAACAGTCAATTGCTAGCCAATTTTTCAACTCTCGAGAATTAGATGATCATAACAAAAACCTCCTATTTGGACACTACCATAAACACTTCAAAAATGAGTTTACAAAATTTAGTATTGAGAAAGATAGAACGATTGAAGTTGTTTGCAATGCATTATCTGAACTAAATCTTACAAGTTTATGACTTTTATGATGAATTTATTAATTAGTGTCATTATCAACAAATAGAAAAGTAGAGAAATCTGGGAAAATCAATACTTATTGATCGGTTTTTACATGACTTAAAAAAGTATTCAATCAATCTTGCAAAAGTAATGAGCACAAAATAAATGACATAAGTTTAATATTAATAATAAGGATTTCTGTATTAGGAAGAAAAAGAAGAGGAGAAATGGTAAAATGAATTTTTTAATGATGATGATCGTTAATTTGGTTCCTATAAAAAGGATTTAAGGAGTTGTTCATTAGTTTAATAAAAAGGCATAAACTTTTAATATGTTCATAAGTCTCTCTAAGAGTTCTTTGTAGCGGCTGATTTATATGGCATATTAGTTTTATTTAAAGATTTTCAAAGCCTAATATTCAATTAGATACTAGTATAGCTATCTAAAGGAAACAATTATGATCAAAATTTTTTAGAATATCTATAAAATCAAATAAATTAATAAAATCTAATTATAGGTGAAGTTTCAATTAGGAATGAAAAAAAAATATTGAATAAACTCTATTTGAGAGCTTTGAAAAAACATGAATTTTGTTTAAAATAATTATTACAAAAAATAAAGCAAGAACCTTAAATAATAGAACTTTTAAAATTTCTTGTATATTTAACAGTAATTGATAAAAGTTTTATTTAAGGTGGGTCGAACTCACTGAATTTATTAGTTGAGATGTAGGTTGATCTAAAAAGGCATGATTTCTAAAAAATAAAAATCAGAGATACTTCCTTGATAGGAGGAAATTTTACAAAATGTGATTTAAGCTTATCTGATATTAAAAATGTGAATATAAATGGAATTAATATTAATGGAGCAATAATGATTGGTTGCAACTGGAAAAATCTGAAGATTAATGAGTTGAATACATTATTTGGTCATTCTAATACAGTTAATTCAATTTGTTACTCTCCTGATGGTACTACATTAGCATCTGGTAGTGATGATAAGTCTATCCGTTTATGGGATGTTAAGACAGGATAATAAAAAGCCAAATTAGATGGTCATTC